ACCTACACAGTATTAAACAGCAGGTCCAGTGGCCAGCTTTGAAGGTGAATTTGGGTGATGAACTGTATGTACCTTTTTGCCATCTGCTTACTGTCTGAGCTGTGTGTCAAGTCGTGCCAGCTGACCTGTCCTAGGATATTTGCTGAAGAAATGCTGCTGTCATTTAAATTTGTTAGGGTGTTTGGTTTTGTGTTCTTAGGGGACATTATTGATGGTTATTGATTTTTATTCCTCTTGCCATTCTAAAGTTGAATTTTTATTTCATGAACAATGAGAAAATATGAGAAGCTATTTCAATGATTTCTACGTAATCCAGACTTTGTTACTTAAGTTAGTGCATCCTGATTTTTAGCTTTGTATCTGCAGTGCTTGACTAGTGGAAAATGTTTTGTTTACCTATGAAGGGCTATAAATGTAGCGCTGTTTTTTCCTTTGCTTACATGAGGATCCTGTGGAAAAACAGATGGGTTTTCAAAGTGGTCAACAAGAAATCCTATTGGGATAACCAGTATTATTTCTGCCATACAAAAAGTGCTGTTGGTGAGTGAACCTACTTTGGTGATGTATGCTGTTGTAATGCTAGGACTGAATACAGGATCATGAAGATGAAGAAATATATTTTAAAAGAATTGTTATATGCGCGGCCCTGTCTCATGCCTTTAACTCTTGAGAAATGGCACTTAGCAGCTAACCCACCTGAGGAGTAGGGTGCATTTCCACAAAACTAAGACCAACAAAATCCCCTGAGAAATTTTGTCATTGCCAGAGGATTGTGGGTGCTGCAGTGTCCTGTCTTTCACTAATGCGTTTGCATGTTCTGGGCAAACATTGGCTTCATTTATCTTCCATTGTTGATAGGCACAAAGTGGAGAGCAAGAACTTCTTGGAAGTTAGTGCCCTAGCACGTACAGTGAGTGAGGAAGTATGAAGCAGCTCTAAGAGTTGACAGTCATGATTTCACCCTTCATTAGTACTAGCTCTCACTGTGCATTGAATCCCCAAAACTGTTACAATTTATGCTAGCCAGTAAGCACAGATTGTTCTGCAGCAAAACATCTGTAAATTCCAACGTGGCTATGCTGAGCTAACCTGCCCTGGAGCAAGAGCTGTTCCCAAAGTAGAGCCTGCAGTGGCAGTTGCTAACATGCAACCAGCACTGTAGATTGTGTCTAAAATGTGTATGCAAATCATGACAGGCAGTCTTTGGGTTGTGTTTTTGGCTTATAAAGGTTGGAATCTGCAGGCAGTTACACCCATGCAGATCTAGTCAAGAAAATCAGATTGCCAAGGTGTAAATGAGGCTGGATGTTAATGCTTCATCTGGTATGTAATTATATGATTGTTCAACTGTGAGGCAGAATTGATTCCAGCTCACTCTTGTGCAGAATGCGGAATTACCAGTGGTAAAATTTTCAAGGCACTGCAGTAATAAAAACGGTACATTTAAAAAATGGGAATTAAATGTTATTAAACGCAGCAGATAAGACTGTCCGTGTATATGGGGAGCCAAGCTGTAAGAAAGAAGATGGCATTTTTTACTCAGTGACTTCAACTTACAGTAGAACCACACTTGTGTCTCTGTGGTCCCCTGCTGGGAGCTTTAGTCTCAGTAAAACATTCCTCACAGAGGACCCATCTCATTATTCCCTTTCCATCATCAACTTTTCTAGAAACTGTTTTTCATAATGGAAGAATATATTTTGTACCACAGGAACCTAATTGCCTTTTAAGTTCTCTGAAGCCACAAATTGCAGGCTGCAAATGACTATGGTAATAACAATAACAAGCCACTGTCTTTTCTTAATTACAGAACAGGAGAGAAAGGAAAACTGTGACTCATCTTCAGCCTTATTTAGCAAGGCATACCTCTGAGTTCTGCACACCAAAGGTGTGACTTGCACAGCTAGTTCCTGCCATGTGCTTCTTGCAGTTAGCCCCATGTTTCTGCCTTTGCAATGTTGTACTAGGGAATCTCCTGCATCGTACTTTAGCAGATCAAATACACTTAGACAGGCTGCTCTGAGGTAGCTGGCAGCAACTTCTGACCCAAGCAGTCATGACTGTCCATTTTAGTCACAGTCTGGTGTTTTTCCCTAACCATATAGAAAGTAGGATCCCAGATGCTGCTTACTTCTACAGCTTCTTTCCCATCATATGGTGCCATAATAGAGCCTAATGTGGCGTGTTCCCCAACATATGGTAGAGCTGTCTGAAATGTCTGTATAGATTATATATCACCAGATGCAAAGCTAATGCCCAGTCCTACAAATGCTGAAAGAAACAGAATATATATAATTAAAAGTCAAACTGGGTTATAAAATTTCCTGCGTACTACAGTTTTGAGGCTGGAAGGAACCATATGGAAAACATACACTTTTTACTTGGAATCTGCCACTGTTCTTAGGGCGTCCCTTGGTCCTTCAAGAGAGGACTGAATTGGCGAGATATACTTGCCTGTTCCCTTCCCTCCCTAGGACACAGCAAAAGAATGAAGAGAGAAAGCAAAATCTTTTATCCATTTTCTTTTCTGTCTGCTTTCTGTAGCTGAACTGGCATGGACTGTGCTGTAAGCTGTCTAGGTCAGCAGAGAAGGAACTTTGGTTCTGAAATGGTTTTGTTCCACCAGGTCTTCAGAGTTCCTGGAGTGGAGCACTGTTTACTCCACCCTTTGCTAAGGGATGTTCTGAAGTCATTAGTTATTGCTTTGAGAGTAAGAATTTCAACATGATGCTTTTCTGTAGAAGTTTTCCCACTCTTCACATACATCTTAAAGGATCCAAAATGGGAATGAGATATTTTTTGCCTTGTCAATAGAAAAATACCCAATTGGTCAAGTTAGTAAAATACAGTCCATTTGATTGGTTTCATTTAATTGGACAGTGACAGTGTTTAAAATCCATGTTTATATGTTTAACCTCTGGAAAAAAAGGGTTAAACCCCTTTTTCCTTTGAGCTATAGTTGCTCAGATTACCTCAGGAAATGCCAAAATTTTATGTCCTTGGAAGACTACTTTGTTAAGCTCTCTAACCAAGTTGTAAAGCCCAATCATCAGAAGACAAAAAAGAAAAAAAAAAAAAGGCCAAAATAAGGTTGAATCTTGGAAGTGCATTGTTATTGGCATAGGAGCTGGATCAGCAATGAATTCTGAATCCATCTGTATCTCTACTGAGTTTTTACTGTGGTTTGTCACACTGGCATAAACGTCCTTTGTTGTTGGAGGAAAACATTCTTCCTTGATCCTGAAGACCCTTTGAATGCATTTTAAGCATGTCAAGACACAGTTTATTATTGTAACGTCCTGGCAGTATAATTGGAAAGTATACCGCATGCACATTTGAATATTTATAAGGATTTTATGTATTTTCCATTATTCTGCTTAAAAATGCATTATAGCAAATTAGAGTTGTGGCTTCACGCAAGATTTTGAGAAGATAAATTGTAGTTGAATCACGCACTGATTCTCTTAAGGCACTTAGAGTTAAATGTAATTGTTACCCTGTCTGACAAATAGGACCACTGAATGTCTGACTTGAATGCCAAACATTATCCCTACTAAACCTGTCTTGAGAGCCAGGAAATTACAAAGGTAACTCAAAGTTTAAAGGTTTGGTTTTTACTGAGCTGCTAGAGGTTTTGTATCTTCACCAGCTTCTACAAACAGCATAGGTGCTTTCTTAAAAATACCTGTTGGTATGTAGAGAATTGTCTCTATTAGTTGAATCACTTGAGTTTAGTGCAACCTTACTACTTAGCTCGCTGCAATTTTTGCATTTAGTATATATTTAGTTAAACTCAGTCATTACTAAGAAGAATTTTCTTGCGTTTTGTCACCTCTTGTCTCTGTTTTCATGTTGAAAACCTTACTTTACAAATAACAGTCCGTGTTGCAGAATCTGTGACCACCCAAATGTCTTAGAATATTGAGGGATTTTTGTTGTGTCAGAATAAGTGAAAGTGTTCTTCCTCCTGCTCAGTGATAGAGAAGATGCTGGAAAGGATAAGACAAAACAGTATTAATGCTCTCTAGGACATAATTATGTTTCCTTATTCCATCTTTTACCTGGCTGAAAGCACATGGTCTTTGCCTGTGTGCCTCAGGTTATAGTTTAATTATACAATTTGTGAACTAACAAATATACTGCGATCTGCTATATTGCTCTATGATTTAGTGTGCTCCCCTAAATTTTTAAGTATTCATGTTCACTTCATCTAGATGAGACATTTCAGAGTGCTGTAAAGGCAAATGATTTATTTGTGGGTTTATATCTCAATTTATAAATCCTTAATTTGCTTGCAAAGGACAATGAATAACTAACTGTCTCTCGTGGAACAATTAACAAGTATCAGTTTTGGATAGTTGTTGTGGACTGTTATGAACATCCCATAGAAAGCTATTGTCTTGGATTTAATTCTTACTGCTGAGGCTGAAGTCTTCACTTGAACAAAGCTTTCTCTGAAGTTCATACAAGCTTTTACTGCAGAAGAACATGGGACAGGATTCCTTCCATGCTCGTTCTTTGTATCCATACTACCATCTTAGGTAATAATAGTCAGATGTGGGTGTCTGTAGTAATATACAGAGTATTTGAAGATTGGGCATAATTATCTGATATTACTAAAGACTTATTTTAGCAGTCAGAAGAGAATGTATTTGGAGACAGGTAATCTCATTCATCAGAGTTAAAGGATGAAAAGTGTATTTATGTCGAGGAAGGCACATCCAAAGTACTGTATTTCTGGACATAGCATTGCATTTTCTTTTTAGAGAATTACTTATTTCATATAGTTTATCTAAAACATAATTTTTAGCAGCTTTCAAATTCAACAGATCTTGGAATTTACTATTAAAGGGTATTTTACCAGAAAGCTGTGATCAGACATCAGGTGATTGCTTCCCAGATACTTTCCGCAGAGCCTACTGCTCCTTAGATTTGTATTTTGGGGCTTCAACCCTGTTTGTGTGGATGTCTTATTTGGGGACTTTTCTATATACTTCCAGGAATTATTTACCTGATCTCAGCTCTTGGCCAGCTGACGCATTCTGCGCTCTTCCTGACTGTTTCTGCACGGGATGGGGGTGGCCTTCCCTCTGCCGCCAATGCAGCTGTCACAGTAAACATCCTTCAGACCGCTTCGGCCCCTGCCATATTTGAGAGATCCCGGTATACTTTTGCTGTTCCCGAAGATGCACCTGAAGACAGCCCTATCGGCACCGTAAAAGCCAGAGAGCCTCCAAGTAAGTTGCACTCCCAGTCAGAGATTACATTGCATTTTTGTTGTGACCATTAACTGGAAATATCTGCAGATATATATTTTTTAAACTTTCATATTATTCATTCAGTCTGTCGAGCATCAAATAGTATTTACTGTTGGTATTTACAGCAACTGGTGTAATCACTGCTGTATTGGGATGCTCTTTAGAACAGATGACATTCATGGTACTCTCCTTGGTGGTGCATGGGGATTGGCAACTGCCTCCATTTTCTTCCGGATAGATTTCTATAACTGCAAATGGGGAGATGGGAAGCGTGTTGTTAAAGTGTAAGGAAGGATCTGTGTGGCAGTGTGGCTTGTGTTAAAGCATTAGCCATGCAAGGCAAATCTCAGAGCAATACTCATGGTAAGAGAGTATTCAGAAGTTTCAGAGAATCTATATGAAGTGCTGCTGCTGCAAAAAAAAACCCCAACCCCCCACTCCCCCCAAAAAAACCCAGACAAACAAAATAACATCCCCCTGTCCTGAGAGCCATTTGGTTCCTTTTGCAGAGCAGTGGGAGCCATGAGTCCACGTACCAGCTTGATGATGGATCTATACATGTAAGGTGGTAGAGGCAGAGGTTTTATATAAGTCTGATAAGTCAGGTCCTCCTATTTTCTTCTTCTTGGAAGGACAGTGCATTGACCACTGTCATCAGGGTGAGGTAGCACCTGTAGAGTGGCCTTGGTAATAAGCCTGGACCTTTAGATAGCTTTTGTGTTAAGTAGCATCTGATGTATAAGGGTTACAGCAATGATCATCTGTGAACAGTAAGTTCAGTAAAATGCAGTTCTTTCAGGGAACCACCACCTGTTTCATTCCTTGCTATAGTGAATGCCTGTGTGTAATGAAATTATTCCCATAAGACTAATTTATAGGAGTGTTTTTTCTATATTTTAGATCAGGGAAAAACAAGAGGCTATTATGCTATTTTTCTCTATAGAGTTTTATCATACCAGTGAGATGAAAATCAAACGGTGCACAAGTGAACAAACGGTATACAGTCATATTTTACTGAAGGGCTCCAGGGACAGGAAGAAGGAAGCATAAAAAGCCCAAGAAAGTCAAACATATGTGTATCTTACATTTATTCCTCTGAATTTAACAGCATGCGTTCTTCACAGATGATCTTACCAATTTTCACGTTATCACTTTCATTTTTATTTTTTTTACTTTTTTTTGCTGTTGTTTCCATTTCTAGATTCTTTAGAAGTGGTTTCTTACAGAATTTCCTCTGGTGATCCACATGGAAGATTCTCTATTGACCCCCAGTTTGGTATCATCCGCTCCAAAAACCAGCTTGACCATGAAACTCAGTCTGTTGTGGTGCTCACCATTCAGTCACAGCTGGGTAACTCCCCTGTCTACAGTAGCACCCAGGTCAACATATCTGTGATAGATATTAATGACAACCCTCCTGTATTTCTTACCAAATCTGATAAGGTAACTATTTCACATACCCAGCCTCCTGGCACTACTGTCTACATTGCTCATGCAGAAGACAAAGACAGTGGCCTAAATGGGGCAATCAAATACAGTATTGCAAGCGAGCAGTCAAATGCATTTAGCATTGATCCAAGCCTTGGAGTGGTAAACCTCACCAGGACAATGTTTGCAGATAAGCAGCATGAATATACTCTACACATAGCAGCTGAAGACTGTGGAAGTCCTCCTCTGACTTCTTTGCTGATGTTGACGGTGATTATTGAAGAGCAGAAGATGGGCCCTACTTTGGTTTTTCAAAACTTGGTGTATCAAGTAGAAATTAGTGAAGCTACCTCTCCAGGTGCCCGAATCCTTCAGGTTCAAGCCCACTCACTTGATCCACACAGTGTTACCTCCAAGCTGATATATTCCTTGGAGCCTAGCACAGATTCTGTTGCATTTGGAATCAGCTCTGATACTGGCTGGATTTATCTTAGGAAACGTTTGAACTACGAATGTGCACAGATACTAAGTTTTAGAGCCCTGGTCAGCACCTCTGAGGATGAAAATCTCAGGCAAAATGCATGTACATCGGTTATAGTTAATGTCCTGGATGAAAATGATAATTCTCCCATGTTTACACATGAGAGCTACTTCTTTGAAATGGAGGAAAATCCAATTCCCAGGGGTGTGGTTGGCACGATTACCGCTATTGACAAAGACTCGGGAAGAAATGGACAACTTTCCTATTTCCTCTTGTCTGATGGAAAGTATTTCAAGATGAATTCCAACACAGGTAGCATTTTATTATTTGTAATCTGCCTAATATTGCTTTTGGAAAGCAGCCTTCCCTAAGGGAATGGAAGTGAAGTGTAAATCTTTCAGGAACTGCTGTGAATCTCTTGGGTTGGTATGTGAATATTCTAACTCAGAGCTTCACAATTTGGGGAATGAAATAAATCTAATACATGTTCATGAAGAATGAACTAACCCTTGGGACTTGATTTGTTCATTACTTCATTCTGGTCACTTGGTCATAAGTTTCAGTGTTTGTAACAATTTAAAAGAAAGAATTTTATGTTATAGCTTCAGTAGTTCAGATGAGTAACTTAATTTGCCGTGATCAAGTACAGTTGAAAAATACAGGTCGGACGTAAAAAACTGTAAAGGTACCTATGACATTTGACACTGACAGTGATTTAAAATATTTGTGAAAACTCCTGTAAGTTACATCAAAACTGAGTTCATGTTATACATGGCACAACAGAAATCACATTGGCCAAGAGAACTTTTTCATGGCACAGGGCATACTCTGCAGTGAATTCCAAATGCCTTGAGTAATAGGTACTAGGTCCACAGATCACAGCGTGGAGAGCCCAAAGGAAGGGAATCCTGCAAGGAACACAGGCACTGTAAATAATGCGGTTTAGCAAAATGATACATAGTGAGCAAAGATCTGCTGCTTAAAATTCCTGTTCCAGATGTCCTTTCCTCATGGGGAGTGAATAGGCTCTCCCAGAATTCCTCTGTATGAATCTCAAACTAAAATTGTCATTTCGAAGCAGGTTCCTGTTGAGTATGTTTATGGAAGTTTAAAGGCAAACAGAGTACTAGGAGTTAACCAAGAAGATCTTAAAATAATATGTGGTTATCCATGTGAAGGACTTTGGTCAACCGCAAATCTACAGCTATATTGAATATGGTTAAGTAGATGGAGAGAAGATTGGGTCAGATTTATTTACTGGGTTTGCTGGAATGTATAGGAAACGTAAGGGTTCCTGAGTAATGTACAGACATTGTGTTGAGAATTTTCTCACCCGGGGGCATAATAAAGGCCATTTGTCAGCAATTAAAACCCTGTGCTCATATATTATCTGTCCTGAAGTGTGGTGAAGAAAAGGCCAGATGGATTTCTTTGGAAGGTCAGCGCGTTCATTCGTACTGTTTTATACCTTTGCTCCGGGGCATCCACCATACAGTAAAGGATGTAATATGGTACTAAAGTACAAGTACAAATGGTGATTGACAGAACATTTCTATGGAATGGAGCTTGGAAAGCTGAAGTTTTAATGTCAGCAGTAAGGTGTATGAGAAGACATGTATCATTATTTCACGTTAAATTAAATGTATAATTGCATGTAGTAAGGTGAGTGCTTAGCGTATAGTAAATCTCTAACTCTCTTTCTCCTTCATTTTCTTTATCCATCAGGTGAAATCATAAACTGGGTTGCACTAGACCGTGAAAAACAAGCTCACCACCAGCTGACCGTGCTAGTGACCGATCACGGGTCACCGCGGCTCAATGCCACGACAGCAGTGTACATCACGGTGAGGGACCTCAACGACAACAAGCCCCTCTTCCCTCAGGCGGCCCTCGAGGGCGAGCTGCACCTCAAGGTGGGTGCTGCCGGCAGGATGCGCTGCCTTGCTCCGAGCACCACCCTGTGGTAGGAGCCCAAACCCCCGTGCTGTGAAACGGGAACAGTACGGCACCGCAATAACATAACCCGTTCTTAATTGAGGCTCGGGTATATTTGGGAATTTCAAAGTTTATCAAATGATTACACTTCTCCGCCTCGTATACTGTTAGATGCAAAGGATATACATGTATTAATTTTATTTATGTATGCAGTAGAATCTCAATTTTAATTTCTGACCTCTGAGTCTGCTGTACAGAAGATTTTTGAATTAGCAATACATGGAGACCATAACAGAGGATTGCTAGAACTGTTATATGTAACCATTTCCTGAAATGCTTTTTGCACTGACTGTAAATATTACTGAAATGGAAAAGAGAGGAACAGATGAACTCTTGTGTTATGGCAAGGAATTTATTTTAAGACTCACTGTTATCCATATATATTTGCAAATTATTTATAAACTGCTTGACAGGTTTTGGAAGGGCAGCCGTCAGGGACACTTATTACCACCGTCTTTGCAAAGGACTTTGATTCTGGAAACAATGGTGTTGTATTATATTCAATAGAACCAGGTAAGAATTTGAAGTGATATTCATAATTCATTGAAATAACTAGAGATTTAGAGGTGCCATATATACATACAGGATTTTATGTCTATTTTGTGTCTGTCAGAACAAAGGTCCCTGTGTAGATAGGAATCAGGACGATCATATGTCTTATGAAGTATCTAAGGAGGTGCAAGCAGCTACCTTTCCTCCCTTCCCCGTCTACCCCATCTTCCCAGGGGTTTGGTTGCTTGTGTGGCCAGCCAGAGAGCATTCAAACAGCACTCAGAAAAGATTAGGACCCTGATCTTGTACTGTACAGTTTAGTGTTTCGGTCAGTTGTTTAACATCTTAAAGGAAAGATGATCTCCCTTTTCCCATGACCAATTGAAAATTTTCCTGCTAAAAGAACGGTTCATGACAGTCTGAGACAGGGATCAGAAGGATCAGCAGATAATCTGGGCAAACAATGAGGCTTGTGCATTTTAGTGCATGTTTCACCCTTTGTTTAGCACTGTGTTAGCCTGACATAGCGTGGCCACTTAAAAACACTTCTCCTCTTTAGTTTTCCCCATAATTCCTACATGTAGTAGTTCACTCTTGAGGGGGGGTGAGCTATAGGATAGCAAGAGAGAACTCTCTCTGTAACCAGTGAGGAAAATGTGTCTGTTCCTCCTGCTTTGCTTCACTATTGGTTCAAAACAGCAAGAGGTGCCAAGAACAAAACTATTTCTTTTATTTTGGTACCTGCCCTATTCTACCAGCTTAATATAATCAATACCTTTTGAGCTTGGTATTTGTAGTCTATGGTAATTTGCACATAGAGCATACTGTTTCATCAGAGCAAGAACACGTTTCCAGTATTTCCATCCATTCAGTGCATTTCCTCAGGTGTTGTTTTCTGTGTAGGCAGAGCTCAAATGTGGGCTCAGTTGGTTTAAACTTGTTGCAGTTATTTGTCATGGCAGAGTAAAGAACAAAATACTGCAAAGCTACATTACTCCTCACTCTTTAAAGAACAAGGCAATCTGTAGCCTCTTCTTGCCAAGGCTGAAATTACCAAAAGATTCCTGTGGATTATGTTATACTGTGTCTTTATGTACCCTTTTGACTCCTGTGGAGTAATGGAAGGACTTTAAGATGCAAATCCACAAGGGCCAGAGAACTAACTCTACTCTCTTCCACCAAGAGAAGCTTAAAAAAATGAGATATTTAACAACTCTATTGAAAATTTTGCAGTTGAAATATATGTAGATAATAAAAAACCTGTAGGGTCAGTTTATGGCCATGCTATTATTCTCTTAATTTGGATACAAGTGACTGCCTGTTCCAGAGGGAATTGGAGAGAATCATGGACTTCTGCATTGTGGATAATAATGTTTTGCACAAAACGATCCCCCTTAAGAAAAAGAGAATGAGTTGTACCCTTTGTTTGAAGGGTGATGGCCAGGCAACATGGGAATTGTTTTTCAGGGGTCTGCCTGTCTATATATCTAACCATATCCCCTTCCTTCAAACAGCACATTGGATTTTCTTACTGGCTTCACTGTAGAGCCCCAGAGGGGAGTAAGATAGAGTTCAAATTATAAAAATGACTAGCAACACAAACTATGACTGGTCTTGCAAATGCTGTCTCTGGAAAGAACAAAAGGATAAAAACAGCAGCAAAAAAATACTAAAAGAGCCCTCCCAGCCTTGGAACTAGATATTTTCCTGATAAATAAATCCAGAAACAGCTGAGCTTCTCTGATACTAATTTTTGTTGTTGTTGTTAGTTGGCTCACAGCCTTTAACATCTGGTCTTCTATTTCATGGTGAAGTTCTGGCCTGGTTTATATTTAAAATAGTATTTTCTAGTTCTGGGACATTGTTCAGTACTAAAATATGAAGAAGAAATATGATCTGATTTACAGCCATATTTGTTAAACACAAAGACATCAGGTTAATTGGAGGACTGCACGCAGACCAGTGCCCTTTTCAACAGCTGAAGGACTGCCACAAGATTAAGAGTTATGAGTGTCAGTGTCAGCTGTTAAGCTTGTAAGAGTCACTGGTAATTTTTAATGTTCTTGAGACCTTAAAGAAATGCCAAGATAGCAGCAATAGATTAAGCTGTGCAGGAGGGCTAATGACAAATGCCAACAAATTACGTACGGAAAAAATCTGTAAAAGAACTACGAGGTTTACACAACAGATAAATCTTTGCCTTCAGAGGAGAAGTGTTTCCTTCAAAATGCCCCTCCCTTTTCCCAGAAAATCAAAACAAATCATCCTTAAACATTCATGTGTATGGAAATGCATGATCATTTGGCCATACCTCCACTTTTGTGTTATCACTGAAAGAGTAACCTAATTCAGAGGAAGGTGAATCCCAGCTATGTGTAGCATTCCTCCACTGGCAGTTGCAAAGTGATTTGTCTGGCCTCCTTTATGACTGTCAGTAGGTTATGGTACAGCATTTATAACAAAAACCAGTCTGTATTTATAGGGCATCATAAACTATTGCTTCATGCGTTAAGAGTAGCACTGGCAAAGTAGAGGCTTTTACAGTCATATTTGGAACAATTCTGTGGATACATTAGCACTTGACCACCAGGGTGCTAGGAGAAGCCTAGTTTACACTGCTAATGCACACGAATTGGCAAGTGTTGTACGTATGCTGTGGATAAGTACTCGATCTTCAGGGTGATTTGCAAGCAGCATGCAGGGAGCCTTCCTAGACTTAGAGGACTGTGTTTCTGCAGCAGCCCCGCGGTGTTCAAGCTCTTTAAAAGCCATGGAATTGCCTTAATTTTTTTCTGATAAGAGAAACAACTTTTCTTTCATCTCAAAGGAGAATGAGATGGCCAAGGCACTAAGTATTTTAAAACCTAGGAAACATACAGTTCTTCAGGAAATTAGGTAAAAATAAGTAGCTAACTATTACTGCGTACTGAGGTTACAAATATCTGAGAAAACTCGAGTGTTCCTTTCTGTTTGCTTTCTGGGCCATTTTTCCTGAGTGCCTGTCACTGGAAGGCTTGAATGTTCTGCCAAAGTTCACAGCCACGCATTGCCTGGGGTTTATCAGGTCATATTTTTTTTTGTCCAAAACTGCAGTTTCTGTGATTATGTTTGAGATCATAGAGATGAGAAAGTGCCTGGGCTTTGGAGAATCTCATGCAAATGAAAGCCTGGCCAACAGGTTGGGCAATGCAGAGGTGGAACATTTAAGTGAAAAGGTGTATCCATTTATTGGCAGGTTAGAGTAGAGTTGCAAGCACAGGAAGAGACTGGGGCCATTAGAGTCTAGCTATCAAGAGATTTAATTTTTTTCTGTTCCGTGCTTCATCTGTTCTTCACAATTTTCCTTCTTTCATACCCATTTTTCCTATACTTTCTTCCTTTTATCTTCATACAAAAAAGGACATCTTTAGGGTGTATGATATAAGCAACGGTTGCCTAATTCAGGTGACTTACGGAGATGAAAGCTGAATGAATGTTTCTGTAAGTGCAGGGAGCATGAGCAACAACCAACATGCTCTTTGAGTGTAGAACGTCCAAAAGAATGAGAATGAGGAGGAGGAGGATTTGGAGTGTATTTAGAAAGTGAGCAAGCTACTGCTCACATGCACTTGCCCTTGGTAATCTTGGGAAAAAGTATTTGAAAGTGGTCTGTCTCTTCTTTTAGTACATGTTATCTATTAAATCAGTTGAAAAGCAAGGTCTGTCTTTAGACAGGCTCTTGAAATTCAGAAACTGAAGAAATTGCTTTAGCTAAAAAACGTAGTATGAAAGTTTGATTAGTCTGTAGATGAAGGGAAATCTAAGGGGTTCTTTGCTTGAAGTTTTTTCTGATTTGGAATCAAATGGCTAAACTTTGAAATTCTCCATGAATAAATTAGAAAATAGACTCATAAAAACCCCAGAAAAATAGAAATAAGTTGTTTGACTGTCTTTATAGTGCAGTACAAGATAAAAAAGATGAAAATGAAAACCAGTTTCAAAATGGAAGTCCCAAGGGATTCTGGTTTTATGCAATATCTCTTTCCAACTTTATCAAATTTTTACGTTACCTTTATTGCCAACAAAATATGCACAAAACTGACCTTTTCATGCAATATATGGATTTTAGTGAAATTGTAGTCTCTAGAGAATAATGCTATTGGTAATTTCTTTTCTGACCAGCTCTCTTTTATTTTATTCAAAAATGTAGATTCTGACCATTCCTTTCTCCTATCAAATGAGCTTCAACCCTTCAGAAGCTCTGTGGACTGACTGACACCTATTTCAGTTGAGCTTAGCTATCTATGTGCTGCTACTTGCAATAAAAACAAGTATTGATCTTTATGCTAAAAAGGTACTGACTATCCCCATCACTGCTGAAGCAAGGGTGAAGCCTTATGCTGAGATTGCAGTTATGTACCTGTAATATTTTCATTCTGTGATTTTTTTTAACTTTTTTTTTATTTTTGGTTCAGTTTGGTAACTGTAGCTCCATTTTGGTAGAAAAATGAGGGGTATAGTTTTTGTACACTTCTGTTTACTGTTCTCTTTTTCTTGTTAGTTCTCCCTATCAGTTATTTTAAATGTCAGTTTTAGCAAAATGTTAAAAATATATGCATGCAATTCACATTATGTGTTCTGTTTTTCATATCTCTTCTGCTTTTTGCTTAGCTGGGATTTTGTGTCATGAAACATTATATGGAACGAAATAGCATATCTGTGAATGTAGACATACTGTTGGGACCTAAACCAGGAAAGTAACCAAAAGCTATTTAGGAAAACAGTAATATAGCAGCATTAATATTTTGAAACTATCATGAAGAATGCAGAATGCAGGATTGTCTCATTCAATATAATTGTCTCTACATATTGTTTCCTTTTGTTGGCAATTTCCTCGTTATGTTCCAGACTGCAAGAGTCAACCGAGAAGGGACTCATGGAGAATTAGAAACCTGTAGTCAGTCAAAACTAAGTTTTTCCAGCATTGTTCTGCTATTTGTTGATTGTGAAAACCCTGTTTTCTAACTAGCCTACTCAGTGTTTTTTTAATTCTACAGGTGCAAATATTTTACAGTTGCAGTTGAGGTGATTGGATACAAACACTGGATACAAACATATGTTCAGCTAACTAATTTGGATGTACAGATTTGGAGAACATAAACAGTTTCATGCTTACTTAGGTGCCTATGGAAATACAGTTCTTGATGGGTGTTTTGTGTACTACATCTGCACTGAGCTTACTTCTACCACAGTCGTTTATTAGAATAGCAGCTGTTACACCTCAGGACTTTGTTTAACCCACTAGCACACCTTATTAAAAATTCACATAGCAAAAAGTTGTTTGCATAGAATTTTGAGAGAAGTAGTTATGACAAGTTCTATTGTCTCAGTTTCTGGTAAGGTAGACCAAGTGATAGATACTTTTCCATTTTACTAAAAATTAGAGAGTAATTTGTATTGCATTCCTTGAAAATGGGAGAGGTGGGTATTTGTCTCTTTTTCCCAGGTAACAAGTGATAGGATGAGAGGAAATGGCCTCAAGTTGTGCCAGGGGAGGTTTAGGTTGGACACTAGGAAAAATTTCTTCACCAAAAGGGTTGTCAAGCACAGAAACGGGTTGCCCAGGGAAGTGGTCAAGTCCCCCTCTGCCCCCCGGAAGTATTTAAAAAAAGTGTAGATGTGGCGCTTAGGGACGTGGTTTAGTGGTGGACTTGGCAGTGTTAGGTTTGCAGTTGGACGTGATGATCTGAAGGGTCTTTTCCAACCTAAATGATTCTATGATTCTAAGTAACAAAGAGCTATTTACTCTTCTGTAGTAGAATTTTTCTTTGGAACTCTTAAAATAAATGTATTATGATGTAGCTGCAAGTAGTAATTTTAATTAGAAGTTGCTTGTTTTTATCATGTGGCCAGTCTGTGTTGAAGGACGTAAGCATAATTTCCAAGATTCGCATCTTGCTTTGCAACAATTTACTGAAAGATTTTAGCTACCCCCGGTTAGCTCCTGGTTCAGAGCACAGGCAGGGCAGGTGGCATCACTGTGGTTGTGGTGTCTTAGGGGGAGGCAGGGCTCTTCGCTAACCCATAGTCAGTGAGACATGAGCTGGCTGTGTTATCCAGCATCACTTACTTGACCCTTCGTGCCAGTTCAGAGACTGAGACTTAATTCTTTCACTGGTCCTGCCTGCCAACTTATGTTGCAAGTAGGAGTACCGGTCCTGGGGTGTCTGCTGGTCTCCTGATGCACACACCGTTGATGTGAATAATGTTGGTACAAAATTGAGCAATTGCTTTAATACTCCATAGCATTTCTCTCTGTAGCTTTCTAAATCCAGAGTAAGTGGTTTATAATAACTATGTACTTGATGAAGGAAGAGGAGGTGAACCAAATGAGCCAGAGAGACCCAAATGAGTGCAGCAGGTTACCTTTCCTCTGGGTTTTGCTCTTTCTTACTGTTGATTACAATGTTCAGTACTATGGAGGCAAGCTGAAGAGATCTGCAATAACTCATATCAATTTTTTCCACATAGAAGAGGATATAGGATACTTCCAGATTGATGCTGTCAGTGGGGAGTTAAGAACAACCCGGTCTCTGTCACATGCTGAGAGATCAGACTACAGAATGATGGTCACAGCCAGGGACCAGGGGATGCCATCGCTTCAGGGACATGCTGCTGTTTACATCCAGGTACTTGTTTATGTTGCATGGATAGAACAGTTATGTTATATACTTAATTTCTCGGAAAAAACAATTTTGCGCGAAGCAGGGAAATAAGATGGAGAAAGGAAGAAGCTCAAAATTATAAGCAACTTGTCTCATGGTAATTTTCTTTAGCCATTTTTCTGTTGAGGGAGGAAATGAGGGGGCAGACTCATTTTGATTTGTTAAGAATACACAACAGCATTCTGGGTTGTCTTGCAAACAGATGATGTCTGTGCTTTAGTAGGGAGTCATTATGAACACTGGAAAAGAGAAGGAAAAAATCCAGGTAGGCAGAATGAAAAGCAAATATCAGGAGGGACTGAAAGTGGGGGAGAGAATAGGTATTTTTTTTCTCCATGATGTTGCTCTCTTTTTCTAAATTCTGTCTCTGTAACCCAGTATACCAGGATAGCTCATTCCTTTGTGCTGGTTTATACAGGGCTGCTCTGCATGGGAGTGTGCAATCCAGTGTGTGCTCTTTCCACAGCCAGCCACCTGCTGTTCATTGAGCCGCAGTGGGGCCGCTTTATCCAGGCTGCCTGTGCGCTCCGTTAGCAGAGTTTGAATGTCACAGAGGCTGCTATTTTCATGTCACCCAAAAGATGGTTAATTTTGGTTACCCTCGAAAAAAATGCTTCAGTCAAGACAAGGCAAATGCAGTTCCCACAGTTAAAGAGATTCTTTCATTTTAAAGCATTAACTTGGAACATGGCAGCAATCCATAATGAATGCAACCCTGTAATGACATAACCAACCCTCAAAACCCCACAGCTGCTTGTGTTTGACAAACTGCATAATGTACCGTGCTTTCTTTGTCACATCTGTCCCTGTGATGCTGTCCTGTGTAGAAAGACAGGTGAAGTGCTAAAGAGTAGGGGCAGCGTTAGCAATATTCAAGTTGTCTGTCTTTAGACCCCTGTGATACAGAGGGTGAGACACAGTCTCATCCCTTTGTTTAACATGGGAATGAAAGGTAGAGTTACGGAATGACTGGCCAAGGACTGTTTGAACTCTTATGGAGCATGTTGAGTTTTTCTGGCTTTGAGGCATACTTGGGATAAATATAGTCACAAATATTAAATGATTAAACAAATTTTCATTCCACTATTCATAATAACAATGGGGAAATATTGCAGCTTTTGTGCTTTTGTTTCAGGTAATCCCCCTTCCCAACAGGAGATCTGTCTTCTCTCAAGATTTCAAGCACTTTGTCATACCTGAAAATTTTAAACCTGCACAAGTGTTGAATTCTCTGAAGTGGCCTGATAATCATCTAACAACTAACAGGAAACTGCATTTCAGTATCGCTAAAGATGACGATGATGTTCATTTTGAAATAGATAGTTTGACAGGAGACCTTTTTCTTTCCAAGGAACTTGACTTTGAAATTGCTTCACACTTCCTTTTGCAAGTTATTATAAAGGATTATAATAGTAATCCTCCACAGAATAACAGTGTCTTCCTAAGTATTGATGTAGAAGATCAGAATGATCATTCTCCGTATTTTCAAGATGACTTTGTAGTGATTGGCATAGAGGAAAACGTACCTGTTGGCACTCTGGTTTACACATTCAATGCAAAAGATGGAGATGGCAGTTTTCTGAACAGCAAAATACAGTATTCCCTAGAAATTAGTAACATGGATGAGAATCCATTTCTTATTCACCCTTCGTATGGCACCTTGACCACAGCTTTTCCACTAGACAGGGAGATTACCCGCTCTGTCATCCTTACAGTCTCTGCAGCAGACCAGGCAATAAATCTGACTGATCGTAGGCTTGATTCCCTGGCTGTGAAAATTGTTATTTTAGACATCAATGACAACAGTCCCAGTTTTACGTCTTCACCTCTTTCCTATGTCATGGAGGATGTGGAGGTGGGCTTCCTTGTGCACCACATAATTGCGAAGGATCCTGATGAGGGAAGAAATGGACAAGTTACATATCGCATTCTTTCAGGCAATGAAAACAGAGCATTTGCACTGGATAAAATCACAGGTACTCTAACTTCTGCTCTCTGGAGTTTCTTGTACTGTGCTTCTCATGGTAATATTTGGAGTGTGTACCATGCAATACTGAAATACTACATTACTAAGGTACTCTACCCAGCTGACTTATCGTCCTCAGGGGTGATTACCTTAGGCAGAGCACAATGCAAGCATGGCAGCACTACGTGTGGTAGGCAAGCTCGGTGAGACTCAGCTCAAAAATTTCTGCATGACACTATTACTGTGTTGTATAGATATACTGGAGCGCTTTCCAGTAGTGCTTTAAGGAATGTGGGAAGAAAGTGTGTGCAGTGAAATACTGATTTTTGCATGATGCAGCCTTAAAGCATGTGCACACACATATGTTGCTATACGTACACGTGAGGAAAGGCAAAATCAAGATCAACAAATGTGCATTATACTGTAGGTGGAACATGTTCAGTGGAGGCTGAAAGTGCTGATGGACTTCATTCTTCAGCCCTCTGAAATTCTCTGGTTCCTGAACAAGTTGTCTAACTATTATGCCATCTGCACACAAATGCAAATCTCACCTTAATAGTTGGAATATTTTCTGGTTCTTATTCTGATTTTGAATCCGTTACGTGATATAGCTGACACTGATTTGTAGAACTTCTAATTGCATAACTTACATGCAAAAGATGACAAATATTTAAGTTAAATAAAGTTAAAATGCTAAACTCAAAATTAAACAAAAAGGAATCTCTGAACTTTACTTGATTTATTCCATGAATTCCAGTTTCCCTTGGTGTCAAAATGAGTATTTCTGGGCCAATTAGCACTCTAAAGGGAATCACAGTTAGTAATTGATTGACTCCAAAGTCTGGAAGCCTTGCAGCAGTGGCACCAGCATGCACAGTGATGCTGCATTGAAGCTGTGAGTGCTGGAACAACTGGGATCCTAACCTGGACCAGAATACATTTTTAATACCTTCTTTCTTTATAATAGGACTCTTAACTACAGCCCAGCTTCTGGACCGTGAGATTCAGGAGCGCTACAGTTTGACAGTCATGGCTCTTGATGACGGCAGCCCAGCTCTCTCCGCCACACAGGTTCTAACCATCATTGTGCTTGATGTGAATGATGAGACCCCGATATTTCTGAAGCAAATTTACGAGACTGCTGTTTGTGAAAACCAAGATCCAGGAGAGTTTGTTGTAAAGGTGGAAGCTGTGGACAGAGATGCAGGTAATTTCTGTCCTTTAGCTATTAATTTCATTGTGGACCACAGTAGACCGATCAAATCTTGCTGCCTGCTGTGTTTGCGTGTACAACTGTTGTGCTCTTCCCAAGGTAATGTATGACGTTTGAGTTTCAAAACATAGCTTTTGGTTGAGAGCCTCAACCTTTATTCAGGGCTTTGGAGGTATTCTGACTTGCACAATGGGGTACCTTCAAGTCTGATGTATATTAAATGTAAAATGTGTGCTTGCATGATGCAGAGCAGCTCCGCGTACTGTAGCTTTTGTGTGAAGATAGCCGGCGTGCCCTGGTTATAAACCAGCAAACAACGCTCATCTCAGTTAAAGTTAATATTTGAATGTTTTGTTGCTCTCAATCAGAGCGTTTTGAATAGTTTAAAAACACTTCACTAGGGAAGGGTCCCAGTTTTATAACAGAACCGGCAAACATGCACTAATCTTTTCTGACCAGAGAGGGGCACTGCCATCCAAGATTTTCCAGCTAGTTGAGCTGTGGAAGGGATCGTGGAAGCCGCTCTGGATTTCAAATAGGATTTTACACACGTAAGAATGTTAATGCATTGCTTTGCAAACATATGCAGAATGGATGAGTAAGGAGGGGTGGTTCATATGCTCTTTGGATCACAGGTATGGACTAAACGTCAGAGAGTCTTTGCTAAGCAACAAAAAAATTCCCTCCAGTTCTTCAACTACCTGCTCTTCTGAACTATCTAAAATGTGTATGATGTTGCAGGTAGTCTGTGTGCTAGAGAGAATCTTAGCTTAAGTAATACCACGCACAGTGCTTACAGTTGGCGTGACGTGAAGCAGTTACACAGAGTCTGTGGTCTGCCGGAAAGATCAAATCTGGAAGGAGAATTAAATGCGACAATGCTGCTGCAATTGGCCCAAAGGTTGTCTCACTCTGTGAATGACTTCCTTTTTACTGTGGGTTCACTTTCTGCACATCTTCAGAATTGTTTAAGGTTGTGCTGTCCAAAAAATAGGTAAAGCAATAGATCTTATTAGAAAAATAATTTTCTGTATTCAGTAAGATTTGTCATTTTCATGTAGAGAACCAATTGATTACAAAAGGCTGATGTGAGCTCAGTAAAGGTGCTATATAGAAGAGATGTTTCCCCATAAGTATGTAAAGTATTTAGAAATTAGGAATTCTTCATGACAGCTGAGCAGTGTTACAGTCTACCTCTATACCTTGCTCTTCCAAGTATTTCTATTCTTTTGTGGATCACACTACAAAAAAAAAAAAGGCAGTATTTGAAGATAGTAGAGAAAACAAGTGGGAATTTGCTTGAATTTCTCTCCCTGTTTTCTTTGGCCCTTTTATTTATTGCACATCTTGTGGGAAGTACAGCAGAAGGGGAATTTTGGGAGCCGTTAGGAGGAGGGAGTGGGGGTGCCTTGGCAGGGTGGAGAGGAAGGGCATTCCAAGTGTACTGGGTGGCACAGCATGCACATGCCTGTACAGATGCTTTGGGCTGGAGCACGGTTGTGGCTGATGGTTCCTTCCTGCTTTTTTTGTTTTTTAAAGTACATTTTCCATTAACCACAGTCCTTCTGTTGGGTCTTTTTCTCACATTTACCTGATTTGGCCCCATGTCATTGTGTGTAACAAATTCTGAAGTGATGCTCATAATGTAAGAAAGTAGGATTTATATAGGAGTAATAAAAATATAATGCTACTGGCTTTTCTTATGGTTTTAGAACAGAATTTTTGAATAAGATGACTCCTTTCATGGTGTTTTTTATTTTATACATCATGTTTTTTACTTTATCTTTATTTTTTCTTTAAATTGCAGTTCACATCCCAGTAATATTTGCATAGACTCAGTGGAGGACTTTCCTCCCATCACAGATTTTTTCAGTTTTTTTCACTTCATATGTTCCCTGACTGACCACAAGGAGGAATCATTTTTACTGACAATATCAGCCATCGTCAATGTTTTGTTTTATTTGCCTTTCTATTTCATTCCCTGTGAAGGGAAGAGGGAAAGCAAGCAGCTGTCACCTTCTCTGTGTTTGACCCAAGCTTTAATCTTGCTTCCAGTTCAAAAGGACATCTAACAGCGCAACACTAGTAAACACAGGTGTAAAGACGTGTAATACAGGTAAATGCTGGGAAAAAATGCATGGAAAAGCAGATACCTGCAGTGTATTTAAGATAGGTCAGGGGTTTGTCTTGAGATAATGTCTTTGCAGAAGCTCTGAATGAATATCTTTTGTCAAGGTCTGCTTTTAAGCTGATATGCACCTCTGTGGTTCAACAGTTATGTCTGGAGCCTTAAGAGAAATATCTCAGAAGGCTAGCAGGGACTGCTGACTGAGAGTTATGAAACAGGGCTTACTGCCATTCACTACTGCCATTTGTCTTGCTCATATTTGTGGGTTATCATGGTCTTAACAACACTAATATTATAAAGATGAGACTTTAGGCTAGACTTGAGGCAGGGGGAAGTTTGTTCCCATTGCTTCTTCACCGGTGTTGGCACTAGACGTATCCACAATGTAATGCTACGTCTGCTGCTTCCAAGAAGCTGTGGGAGCAGAGGGGCTGCCCGTGCTGTGGTGGGAGAATGAGAAAAGGGGGTGAAGCTTTTCCGTGGCTGCAGCTCAGGCACCCTACATCCATCCTGCCATTTGGCCTGCAGGGAAAGGGGTCCTTGCTACCGACCGGTGGCAAGGAAGGGGCTTAACTCCTCTTCCAGCTCAGGAAGAATGCCCAGGAAGAATAGCTTGTTTCTCTCTTCAGTTTGTAATTTAAGCCCCTAAAATGTGACTAGCACTACTGAATAATTAACCAGCAGGTTGGATCAAGTGCAAACATGTCGGCTGCTGTACCATGGTATGTGAATGCATAGTCATCATGCTCCTCTCTTGGGCAGGCTGTGCAGCTCTCCTACTGCTATGAGAAAGGAGACAGTAGGTGCTTGGTAAATAAATATAAATAAGGTGTCACATACCTGTGTCCTTTAAGGATTACAAGTTTTAATTTCAACAGTGTACGAATAGTTAACGTGGATGGCACCTGTATGTTTTTTTGGCACTGTCTGTAAATAATGTCCACTGTGAAATCTGTCAGTGAAGGCCCTGGGTTGAAGCAGTTCAGCTGCAGGAGACCAAAGGCTAATAGTTAGTATCAGCCCTGCCATGTCAAGTGGTTTTTTCCATCTGTAGCATATTAGTGATTAAGGATAGATACATGCAGGCAGATCTGTGAGTATCTTTCTAAATGTAGTTAAATGGTATCTAATATGGGAAGATCAGATAGTGTGTGTGGTAACCCTAAACTTTCAAGACATTCTCCTTGATTGTCCTTGCTGCTATTATTTTTCTCCTTTCTTCTGGAAAGCTGGAAGGATTTCTGTAACTCATTTTTCTTTCTGCTGTGTATTGTATGAATATGTCCCTCCCTTGACTTAGTTTAGGTGCAAATGCATTTACAGTAATAATTCTCTTAATCAAATTTCAGGAGCATTGTCAACTGTTTAGCAAAGCTATTCAAAGGCAAACAAAGGAAGTCATGGATGTCAAAAACTGTAGGCTCTGTTTCTTCTCTCAGGCTGGTGTTTCTCCATCAACTCCACTGCGGGTTGTCCTGTTTTCAACTGCAGCAGATGAAAACAGGCAGGCAGTGTTTGACTCTTGAATAGCAGTTTTCGTATGAGTAGGAGTGCTGTAGTTTTCCAGGTGTGCCAGCTGTCCCTACCCTACTGAAAGACTGACTGTTGGTTGGAAAAAACACAGAACAATTGAATGAAACTTAGAAAAATTTGGAGAAAAAAAAAAAAAAGAGCACAATAGTACAAGCCCTTCAATTATAATGTAGGATTAAAGGATTAAACTCATTAAAGTTAATAATATAAGTGTGATGGAGATGACATTATACTTCCCTCAGGAGGGTGTTGAAACTAGAAGAAATATGAAAGGAATTATTTTATAACCATAATAGGTAAGAACGGGGAGTCACATTTCTTGTTCAACTCAGGAAGGCAATTTTGAAAGAAAGAATTTTAAAAGCATGTAGTCTTAGCCTATTTCCTAGAGAAAGACAGGAAGGCTAATATCCCTGTGCTATCTACAAATGGTAGGTCTGATTAGGAACCTAATGGAATTGGCATTCAGAAAAACTTGGAGAGGAAACTCTTTACCTTCCCTTCTGGAAATCCTGCACAACTTTATAAAACCAAGCAGTATCATTTCAGAGACTGGCTACAAGTGGAAGCAGTCTAAAAGGCCTGAGATGTGCTGTGGGAATGTCTACCAAATTGGCTTTTGTGTTGAAGACTAGGAGATGGCTACCCTGTGAGCCCTGATGGGACTTAGGCACCTGCCTGCTCAGTATTATGAATATTTAGAACTGGTGGGCATGCCAAGAAGTGGATGTTTTCTCGGAACGTTTATGCTATTCAGTGTTGTACTGTATAGAGATACTTGCCTTGGCTCCAAATGAAGTTAAGTGGAGAACCAGAGCTGCCAGAGCAGCCCAGTACTCTGCCTGACATCCTGTTGAGAAATAAACTACCTACCTCGGGGAGAGCAGAAGACAAATGCATGGATTCCGCAGTCTAACTTAATGCTCTCTTGCACCATGTTGATCTGTCAGCTTGTTTGCAGACATGCCCCAAGTGCCTAGAAATGTTGCTGGGGTCACTGAGTGTCTGGAAAACTTAGGCACAAAGCAGTATCTGGACAAGGATTTTGAAGATCTGAATTTTAAATTTGGATGTCTTGTGCTAATGAAGAAGCAGTTACTCACTGCATTAAAAATAATAGTTAAATACATAACCCATTTCCCAGGGAGGAGGAGAAGAAACAAATCTGTAGACCTGAGTATAAGGAGAGTGGCTGTGTTTACTAAGACTTTTGTTCTGCTTTTAAGGACTGAATTCATTGCTTCGGTATGAAATCTTACCAGGAACTGGTTATGAGAAATTTAAGATGAACTCAGACAGTGGAGAACTCATAACAACTGCATCACTGGACAGGGAAACCCAGGAGGTTTTCAGTATTAAAGGTAACAGTGTGAAGTATCTATGAGTGCCTGTAAAATGGGAAGTGAGAAAGGGGGTGGTGTTACTATCAGTGTTACCTTTTTTCATGCTGTCTGAATTAGATTGAAGTGGTAAGACTTTCAGGTACAGAAGAGCATGTGCTTTTTGCGTAGCACAAATAACTCCTATTCTGCTATTATTAAGGAACATCTATTGCTGCACCCACAACCATTGTATAAGATTTGCTTTCTTTTTATTAATCTTAGTTTTGGTTCGAGATAGTGGAACCCCGTCGCTGTCGAGCACAGTGACAGTTCTCTGCACAGTGCTGGACGAAAACGATCACTCTCCCACACTTCTTCTTCCCACTTCCGAGATCCATATTCCAGAGAACCAACAGCCTTCTGTCGTTTTTATTACCCGGGCTGTAGATATGGATGCTGGCAATAACGGAGCTCTAAGATACAAAATAATTGGTAAGTGACACTCCATCGTTTTTGTTAGTATAAATCAGGAAGCATATAAGCAGCAGTATCCAAGTTTTAGACTAGTCTTGATTTTACCAGGCCTCCCTAGCTCCCATCTTGTCCACATGCTTCTTTCATGTGGAGAAAAAAAAAAAATAAATCTTTCACCCCTTAGTCAGCATTAATAAGCACTTTCCAGGCATACTTTCAGTCTGCTTTCTGGATTTCAAATAGTACAAAGAAGAAAACCAAAAAACTACCAAATGCTGGAAGGAGGCATTAATCATGAAGGCATAACTTTGTTCTTTTTGTTACAGCTGTGGAAGTTCTGAATGTAAATATATCCTTGCAAATAAGTACAAGAGTAATCTAATTTTATTTATTTTATTTTATTTCATGAGAGCTTCTTTCACCCAGTAATTAGTAATGTCATACTTGGTTTTCATATTGCCAAACTCTCCCCATGTCCACTATGCCAATGTAAGCTCCACAGCTGTTCAAAGCCTCCTGTAGAATCTTTGCACAAATACAAGTTTGCTGTGCTTACTTTGGTTTGTGGCTTTCAGCAATATCTCAAATGTAGGCAGATAACTATTGTGGTAACAGCCAACACATTTTTCTTTCAAGAAACAGTTATTAATTCCTTTATGTTTTCTTGGGTTTAATTTCATGATCTTTTAAGATATTTAATTTAATTACCTTTGAGCTTTCTACATGTTATAAAGTACATACACCATTCACAGTTACTGGCTTTTCTGTCGACTGCTTCATGTTTATCTCCTCCTCCCCACCCCCCCCAAATCAAGACCTTGCACAACTATTCAATTCCAAGAGACAGGTTTGTAAAAGAGAACAAGGAGCAAGTAATATGATTGTCAGCAATGCTTTATAGGTTTCTGGAATTTGTAACTAAGGTTGGGAAGGGGTCACTATGCAGCAGCATAGTTGCAGGAGATTTTATAAGGTGTGTTGCTTTGGGAAAAAAGACATGCATCTGGCAAAATAGCCGCTCTGTAAATTGATATGACATTCTGTATTTACTGTCATTGCCACCCACTGATTTAAATGAAAGGCAGGTTTTAATTCATATAAGAGGAATAAAATATGTGAAAGGCACATGAGCGCACCAGCTGTATGAGCAATTGGATCATGTTATTGCAATTAACATAGCAGTATTCAGAAGGGATTCTTTTTTCAAAAGCAATTGTTTGTGATCATGTTATTTTTTTTATGTGTTTGAAAGGTGGAAATGTTGGAGAATACTTCACACTAAATAACACTTCAGGAAAACTGCTGGTCACTCGTAGCTTAGACAGAGAAGACATCAGCAATTTCACTCTTGTAATTGAGTGCCGTGACCTAGGCAGTCCCTCGAGAAGCTCTACTGCACAGCTCTATCTAATGGTCTTGGATGAAAATGACCACAACCCATTGTTTGCAAAGACCCAGTATCAAATCTCCGTGAGGGAAGACCTAGAGAAAGGCTCAGCCATCCTGGACCTCTTTGCTTCTGATGAAGATGACGGCCTGAATGGCAAAGTTACGTACTCCCTCATTGATGACACCTTTGGAGCGTTTGCTATCGACAGCGTAACGGGGTCAATAGTTACTACAAAGGCACTGGACCGGGAGACCAAATCCCAGTATACATTTAGGGCTGTGGCAAGTGACTGTAGCACCCATTTGCCAAGAAGCACCACTGTCAGTGTTGTGGTGCACGTTGATGATGTCAATGACAATGATCCTGTTTTTTTGCAGAATCCTATCAGGGCCTTTGTGCCTGCTGAAACCCCTGTGAATGAGACCATAGCCACTGTGAGAGCAGAGGATGTGGATCTGGGATCAAACGGAGCTGTTGTTTTTAGTTTAATCGCAGAAACTGTATTTCAGATTGACGCGAAGACAGGTGACATCATTCTTCAGGAGCCCTTGGCTTCCAAGGACTTCAGTACCCAGCTGCTAGTGATGGCTTCAGATCAAGGTATCTCACCTCGGACAGCCACAGCTATGGTCATTATCCTTACAGAAGAACAAGAGGAGGAGATTTCATTCAGCCATAGCCTGTATGAAGCAAGCATGCCTGAGAACAGTGCAGCAGGTGAGCATCAAATCCCACCTTGTGCTTGCAGTTGCCAATCTCCCCTCCTTTTGGAATGGTAATTGTAAAATAATATAAGGAAACCTTTTTCCTGTGCAGCAGTAGGGAAAAGTTTATTTAGATGTAGGAAATACCCATCTGCCCTTTTCCAGTGCACCAACATTAAAAAGAAGCATGGTCTGTTCATTGGAGATATTGTCTGGCTTTTGAGTTTGCTGCCCATGTACAACAGTGATGCTCACATTAAACAGAAAGCTCCCTTGTTGAAGGTGGTGTGACTCCATCCCTCAGCCTGGGAAGCCCTGATCATCAGGAGGTTCACTCTTTTAGCACGATTACTTTGATGGGTGGACAGTGTTTACTCACTGTTTCACTTGTCAACATGTACAAGCTCAGATGAGGTGAGTGGTGTGTACCAGTTGCAACATGACATTTCTTGGTTTTGCAAAACCCTTCATGAACTGTACTAGCTTTCAGAGATACTCGAACACCTGAAGCTTTGGACTTTCTGAAAGGAGAACACGGGTTAGGGTGGGGAGAGAAGTTCAGAGGCTGTAGTACACTGTCACTCAGACAGGCTTCTACAGTGTATCTCTAGGTATAGCCTGCGCTACTGAATGCTACCTGTAGACAAACCAGCTTCAATCACAAGGTGCTTACAGATTTATTTATTTTTATTCTGTATAATGATGAGAATTACCACTCTACTTTTTATCATTCAGAGAGTATTAGTAGTTATGCTTCCTGCCAATTAGATATGGTAAGTACCTTTTCCTGCATCAGGGGATGGGTTCATCCTAATGAGGGGCAGAAAGGAGTGCCTTTCACACTTTTTCTGCCCACAAATCCCACTGTACAGTTGACCAGATGTATTTAGAGATCTGACCTGCACTATATTCTTGTTTCAAGCACTGCCTCATGAGGTTCACCTTGAACAAGTCATTTATCCTCTTTATAGTTCAAATTTCCTTCAGTAAAATAAAAAAGCAATATTCCTTTATATCCTAAGGGCATTGTGAGACTAGTGAATTCTTAGATCTTGAGTAACGGCCTATATTAGGAATCAGTAAAAAAGAAATGTGATAATAATTTTGGAAAACCAATCAATATTCTTGGTTAATTACAAACAGAATAGAGAATGAAGGGTGAAGATGGCTGTTGCAGTAATTACTGCTGCACTTATTCCGCCATTCCTTCCTCTGTGCCTGTTTGGATCTACAAGCCAAATTTTTAGCAGTGTATTTTAAGATAAAGATAATGCTGTGAGTACTACTGATGTTTCAATTAGTAGATCAAAAATAGGCAATAAGGTGAATTGTTTTAATTGGCTGTTTGTTTTTTTTTAACCATAGATGAAATATTTTGGTTTCAGGCTGTTTTTAAAAAGGTGTCATGAGTGATCAAATCACCAAGTTAGAGAATCCTTCTAGCTCTCTCACTGTCTGTCAGAAAACATGTGGGATTTTGGAAAAAGTGGAAGGCTTCCAACAGGAAAGAGTAGAGCGTGCAGGTAGCCTGGTGGTTAAAACACTCTCCTGAAATATGAAAGGTGTAGATTCAGGTCTCCTCAGGTGGAGGAGCATTTCCCTTTCACTCTGTACTGAGCATTCTTGAGTATGGAACCTATGGTATAAGAAGTTCTTTAAAGTTCTTTAAAGTTCTTTGAATTTTGTTAAGCCAGTGCTTCATTTATTGCTTCTCTTACAAATGAAAAAAAAAAAAAAATCCCTAAACAAGTTTGTCCGGACATCTAAAAAATGCTTTTTATTCTAAGAATTTGAGCGGGATTTACAAGTAGTTTTGGACACCCTAAAATTGAATTTTTCTGTGAATGAGTCACAGATACCCCAAGGCCTCCAAACCCTGTTTTACTAGCACCAGCACTGCACAGTAATGAATTGTATGTCACTTTGCAAAGGAGCTACTGCCCTGGGGGAATTGCTGCTTCAACAAGATACAGTTTGGATGTCACAGCCATGTGTGTTAATATCTTGTTTTCTGTCTTTTCATTGATCTACCCATTGAGAGTCAATTGTGGTGATGTACGGGGTGGGGGGGCCCTCGATTCTAGGTGTCCAGAAAGCAGAGAGACCAGTGTGTTTCCAGAGGTGAGCCCTGGGCTCTCAATTTTGGCTCCCCCTTGCAGCAGCAGGCTCGTATTTTCAGAAAGCATAGTGAGAACCCGTTTGTCAGGCTTCCCAGGGGAGTAAGGTCAAGGCCCTGGGGTTTCAGTCTTTTGGGGAGAGATGAGCTTAACCTGTGCTTAACCTGCGTTAACCCTGCATTAAAATTTCTTTCTAGTTAAGAAAAAATAGTAAGAAGGAAGATAGCTTTTGTTAGGAAACGAGTACCGGTTTAAAGGAAGAAAATAAAATTCAGAGCTTTATGGCAATAGATAAGCTAATCTGGTCCTAAATTTTCCTAAATATAGATACATTCATGGGTCAGGCAATCCAGCCTGAAATTATGGAAATGCCCCAAGGAACGGAGGTAACAGAATGCCATAGATTGTTCTCCTATTCAAGCTATAGCAAATATAAATAAAATTCAATTTAAGTTGTTTTGATTAAAGGAAACTTAGCAAAGCTTCAGGGTAAACAGCAGGGTTTCATCCCAAAATTTTAGTTTGTATATTTAATAAAAGTCTATTTGCTAAGAAGATCAAATTCGTTTAAGAGTATGAGAGATTTTACCAAGTACTAGGACTGTTTTGGCTCTGTTTGTAGTATTTTCTTGTTTATATAAGCATATGTAAATATCAAATATTTTACATTTCAGTGGGAAAAAAAGCATGATTATAATTAAAACTCTCATAGAAGTTAGCTTACAGGATATATGTGATCCTGGGACCCCTATAACTATGAATGGTACCAGTGTATTCAGTCCAGGGGAGATTTACATTACATACTGATTATTTGTAGAACTGGTATTAATAAATGTGGCTTTTCCTCCTAATTTTATTTCTACCTTAACTAATAGAGTGGAAAAACTCTAAGTTTATTTTAAAAAGAATAAAAAAATCTGAATAGTATAAACAACGAAAGCCAAAGCCAAGGGTTCTTAGTTTTAATTTAGTCTAAACTTGTCAATTGGGTGAGTGCCTCAGGAATTGGTCCTTGTGGTCAGATTTTCTTTAAGTGTTTGACCTCCAAGTTTAATGACCTTCAGAACCCCCTATTCTTCTATGTTTTGTTTAATATCAAATATTTGATGTCTTTAAATATTATAAACTGCATTACAACAGCACTTAGAAGTCAGTCAATAAATAATCAAGTCACCGCGGTCTCCAGATGGTAAGAAACCTTTATTATTCACCAAGCTTTCACTTGAATGGTTGTTTATGTAGTGCTTCACTGGAGACAGATTAACCAGTAAAACTTGTTGAATCCTCCTTTTTTTTTTTTTCCTAATAGATATAAAATATGTCGCCTGTTATTCTGCAAGTTATCTCTTTATGCTCAGTTAGCTTTTTCTTTCATTAGCAATTAAGAGGTCTCAAGAAATAATGGCAAGGATGAACTGGGGTTAGATGACAAAGGAGGGAAAAAGAGACTACTATAATAAGCACAGAAGAGTGAAGAAAAACAACGATATAGATTATACAGTAGCTCATTCCTGGTGTATATGTTATGCCCAAACACAGAGTACAACAAAAGGTTTTGAGTCTGTTTGGCCAGGTAGGCAAATACTGTCCATAGTGCCTTACTTCCAAGTCAGTAGGCATAATGTAAAGGTTGATATGTTGGCTATTTAAAGTGCTTGAGATACTTCCAAATGCAATCAGCTTGTCTGACTGAACTGAAAAAATACACACATTGTAAATCCCTCCTCACTTTCTCTAATATTCTTAACTAATCCATAAATCGATTGCACAATGTTTCAAGCCAGTCTGACTGCTTTCTCCGATGATCCTGGTGTCCCTCCTTCCTTGCATTAGCTTCAGAGCTGATCTCATCCTCGTTGTGCCATGTCAGTGTGCTTTGCAGCAAGAAAGCTACTGTTCTCTTAATTTGCTCCAGTTTAATTGTTGTGTGTTATGACTTCTGCTTGAAGCGGTATTTGAATCACTTATCCTTGAAGTTGCAAGCTGCAGTGGATGGGTACCATCTTCTGCAGTTTACCTGTATATGGCCTGTTTGTGTCACAACAGACCTCAGAGTTTGGTCATATTTTTTTGGCAATGAACTGCAAAAAATTGCTGAAGGAGTAATTTTCTGTGAAAGGTATCAAAAGCAGAAGAATTTTGTTCTCTGCCAAAAAGAAGTTGTAAACAATTTTGAAAACAATTCATGAAAATATGAAAAATACAAAACTTAAAAAATTAGGATTTGAGGACCCAGAGCAAAAATTTATTAACCTAATCTCTGAAAAACGGGGATTCAAGTAGAAATGCTGCTGCTTCCTTTATTTCTGGTAGTTTTTCCTCTTAAACAACACAAGGAAGTAAACAAAAAGACTGCTGACAGCATTAGAAGTTAAATAATGACATTCTTCAGACTGAATTTTTTTTCTTACCTTTAACTCTGCTCTGAGGATGCTATGCAGGCTTCTGTAGTAAATTGAAGTTGCCCAGCAGTGAAAATTAAACTTACAACCCCCTATTCTAGTTCCTAAAAAAAAAAAAAAACCAAAACAAACCCCAAAACCCACCCAAAAAAACCCCAACCATGAAACAAACAACATTTCCCTCCCCTCTCCGCTCCCCCCCCCCAAAAAAGTGCTGCATTCATATCAGTCTTTACCTATTGAACAGTTGGATCTTACTTCCAGAATTTTTCTAGTAAATATCTTATAAATATCTTGTGTAGTACAGAAAATTAATCTCTTGAAATCAGCATATTTTTGCTTTTGACAGTCAGATTTTAGGAGCAAATGATAAACCACTTAAAACAAAATTTCCTGGGTTTAAAAGTTAATAAGTAACAACGCTAAAATAAAAAAGGTAGCAGATAGTTTTAAGAACAATGTTTTTGCACTAAAGATAAAGTCCTTTCCTCCGACATCCAGGACACCGAGTGTGAACAGCATGCCCTTTGTAACGTAATAAAATAGCGAGTTGTCTGTAATGCTGTTTGGAAGAGTTCAGGTTGCACAGTAACCTCGTTCCCTCAGTTGCATGGAATCGATTACAATTAAATTAAATCATTAAAATCCATTAAAATCAATTGCCATATATATTAAACAATTTTATAATACACCTGAAAAGAATAATTATTTGGAAATCTTGATAATGCTTTTTAAACTTGCTACATTTTTGTTAAACGTGATGATTCTGATCAGGATAATGTATTCAGTTCCACATTTTTCCTCTAATCCTATTTCAAACATGATTTTTATTTCATGTCTCTTGTATTCTATATTAAATCATTGCTCTTTTCATTCCATTTGGATTCTGCCTGAATTGTCACATAGCTATGCATGTAGTTTCATCTTTTCATTCTCTCTGTCAGAAGATGGCTAATTAACGTTCTTAAGAACATTTGATTTAAAATATTGTTCAAAAATCCAAATTGAATTTAGATAAATGAAGGAAAAATAAACTCTTTATGATGATTCAGGGGTAACATGCATTCCTGTGATCCCCCAAAAAAGGACTATTTTACTTAAAAGAATTCATGAAAAGGTGAGATTTAAATGACCAAAGACAACATAACCTGAATAAAAGGAACACATACGACTTTAGGTAAGAGGTAATTCTAGTGGTATGTGGGATTTTGCAATTAGGAAAAGTTAAAATTCATTGTTTTATTTAGGCAGGTGATGAGGCTGTGATCAGATGAGTAATTTTCTGGGCAAAGAGGGATAGACAGTGCCTTGCCTATGAAGTTGTAATGCAGTGAAAATCACAGAGGAGTTGCTTTTATTGTCTGCTATTTTAACTCTTGAATAAGCACCTAGCCTAGTACATAGGTGTTTGGCTGTGCATCTGCTATTAGTCACAGTAATATAAAATCAGAGTAAAGCCTTCTAAAGTGGACTTACTGCTTCCATAGGTACGTCACTTCTAACTGTAGAAGCTTATGAACACAAATTTATGGGAGAAAACATAAAATACAGCATCTTTGATGACAAGGAAAGCATATTCTCCATACACCCCATTACAGGTACATTTTTATAAATATATTTTTTTTTCAAGTGTCTGTGTGTATCTTAAAGATTATGGTCTCTGAAATATAGCAAGTTTCTACCACAAGAACTAAGGGGTAGATATTTTAGAGTATTACTCTCCTGTTACAATCAATAAATCATTAGTAAAAGCAGGGATGTGGAGAGACCTGAACTACTGTAAACTTGATGTGTAAAGAAACTGAACACCAGTATACCTGTTGAAAATGCTCAGTTCTGATTAACTAACGATCACCAGGTGTTGAGAGTTGATAAACTACTGCTTTGTGATCCAAGCTGAGACTCCATCTTGTTTCTCATCATAAGGTTGCCCAAAAACTCAATAAACATAAAATCCTTCAAAACACTCCTAATCTAGGAAGGATTAGACCCTTGTGGAGTTTAATGCTCTGTGTCAGGCAAACCTTGACAGGTCCAAAAGTCATGTTTCTTTATTTTTTTGGTGATTGTATTTGCATTCTGCAGCAGGTCTGCCTTCACTTGCTCTTCAGTCAGGAACTTCTGATGGCAGGAGAGTGGTGTGTTCCCCATGTGCATTTATGGGCTCTCATCTAAGGCGTGTAAGAATGCATAGCTGCTCTGCTTGCCTCTCGGTTCCTAAACATCTGCAGAGTTTGCCTTCTGAATAGCCTCAGAAATAGTGTAAATAGGTTTTATTCTTAACAAGTGGCTTTCTCCCTGAGTTCCTGGAGGCTTTAATCGCTGATTATTCTTATGTCTGCAGGTATCGAGTGGTGTACTCCTGTAAAGCTATCATGTTTGATGGTGATGGGCAGTTAAAATTGTTTTGTTTTGTTTAGATGAGGGGCAATTGATTGCCAAGTCCTTCTTATTTCACTGAAATAAAGCTAGATATATAATCTTAAAGAGCATCTTAGAGCCAGACAAGTTTATCCCCAAGGAGGTGAATCTTCTCCGATATCACCTCGAGGAAAAAGAATCAAATGTGATTTTCCTTTTTTTATCAAGCCAGTCTGAAAAATGGTTATATGATGTTTTTAAGAGTCTCATAAGCACTCTCTTCACAAACAATAGTAGAATTTTTATAGAAGCGGATGTCACAAGTCTTCTCTTGAGATATTTGAGCCACTGTGGTTTCTTCTGTTTCCTTTCTTCTGAAACCTTTCTTCTGTTTCTTAGAAAACGTTAATTGAAGTGCAGCCTTTCAGGACTTTTGAAGAGCAGTTCTTACCTGAGCATTAATTTTGACACCAGTAACTCTCTAGCCATTGTTCCTACAGCAGAAGTATTTTGAGCTAAATTGATGCCCTTTCTATCTTAGGTATTCTAAACAGCCAAAGGTCTGCTCTACTTGTCTTTTCAAGCACTGATGTTATTAACCCCATTTTGGAGATCAATCCCATTCTAGGGGGATTTATTATATTGTAGAATCAATATTGTAGAATCATATAAAGTATAGTAGGAAGTGACCCAAAGACATGAACTAGTCTGTCCTCTGACACAGGAAGGGAATCTGACAGATTCTGTGCCTAAATATGACAAGTTTGTCTGTCATGTTCTTAAAAACCTCCTGTGACTCCAGTGACAGCAATTCTGCAAACCCTCTCAATAGTCTGTACAAGTCTTGGCACTTTTTATTCATATTTATCTGAGTGTGTGTTGAAACATTTTAAACTTTATTACTTCTTAATCTAGTAACAATAGACATAAGACAAAGGCAGAAAAGCTATTCTTTACATATTTGAAGGCTGTTATCCTGTTTCTTCTTCGTGTGCTCTTCTGTAGAATGAGCAACTCTGGTTCTTTCACTTGTTCTTTCTAGGTGGTGTACCTCAAACTTGATTGTTTGCTCCACGCTATACCAGAGTCTTTCAGTTACTCTGTCGTCTTGAAGTGTGTTCCTTTTGCCACTGTCTGTTTTGCTTTTCTGTACACAGAATGTGGTAATTTTTAAGTGTTGTGCTGAAGAGAGACCACCTGCCACCTTTGAAATCTTTATGTTCAAGATGCAATTCTTGAACACCAGACAGATCCATAAACAATAGCCAGTCATTGCTGCTTGCCTTAGAAAATAAAAACTAAAAAGCACTAGCTTGGAGAGCCACAGCAGATGGGTTCTTATGCTACCGCAGGTTTGGGATATAGATATTCATGGCATCATTACTGAAAAATCCATGCAAAAGTGAATTTTAATTCTAATGAAATTAACATACAAATGAACTGTGTTTGATATTTAGATGTAATGAAGAATTTTGAGTATATTACTATATTACCTAGAACATTGAAACAATGACCATGGATTTCCAAGGACATTTCAGATTTAATGTGGAGATGTCTACTTGTGCTTGTAGTCTCAATAATCTTCACAGATTATTTTTGATAGAAAAACAGTTGGGGGGGATGCTCACTGCATCAGGAGTCTGTTTTACATGTATGTCAGTCAGATACAGAAATTGTTTAGATATAGATGGGAGAGCTGGATGTAGCCACTCTCAGATGATGTCCAAGAGTCTCTTCAGTCACAGCTGGCTCACTGTCACATGTCAAGGAGCACACAGCCACTTTCTTCCTCTCTATCCCTCTACAAGTAAATCAGATTTGTTTTAGAAAATTGCCAACGTGGTGTTGATCAGTGAAAACTTGGCTGTCTAAGATTTGTACAGTAAGTAGCATATGGGGGGCGATGTTAGGTAGAGGAAGGACATGGTGGAGAGCTTGCTGGAGTTCTGTCATGAGTTCAGTGAAGGAGACTGTAGATGGGGACTTCATAATTGCATTTGTGCGTGTTTTTTCCTGGATACATATGTCACATCTCGATATCTTTTTAAATTTTCCATTTAATAAACCAGGTGCAATCACAGTAGAAGAGCCAAGGTTTCTTGATTATGAAGTTAAGAATAAAATACATCTTTCCATTTTGGCTGAAAATGGCTTGAATTCAGCGCTCTGTGGAGTGACAATTTTGATACAAGATGTGAATGACAATGTACCTACATTTGAGCAAAGTTATTACAAAGCATCGGTATGGGAAGGCCAAAGTCCTAAAACAGACATAGTACAGGTAAGTGGAAATACATCTTCCCAAGCCCAGTTAAAAAGAAGTTTGGTTTATCTGTTTGTGACTACAATCCTGCTAGGTCTCCTCTGGAGTACTGTCCCTTAAAAACTGTGAGTGGGGTTCTTGATGTTGCTACTACTTTGCTTGAATACCTAAAATATTCAATGACTATTTTCTAGACCACATTTCAGATCTTTCATTCAGGTTTGTTAAGCTGAAAGAGAATTATTTATCATCTTAATAGTTGTGCAGCTGGACTTTAAATTCTTTTTTTAAATTTTCTTTTTTTCTCTTCAAGTAGTTGAAAAATACCATTCAAATCTGTGGTTCTGGTTACAATATAGTCTGGGTCTTGCATTAATGCATTGATTGAAAGGGCTATAGCAATAAAAAGAATACTTTCAACTCATCAGACTAGTAGAGTCAAACCCAAGTGTTCAATTTAAAATCTGATGCCTAAAGAGCAGCTTGTCTCAATTTAAGTGTGCAAACACTTCTTCCTCTGAATGGATCCATTTTCTGAAAGTGTTTCCAGCTGGCCATGTTAGAGGAAAAGAAGACATCAGTTGGACTAGAAGAACACATAATTTCCTCAGTACATGTTCTTGCATTGCAAGTCAGGTCACAGTGAGGGTCATGTTAGGTACTAAAGATATTCCTCCTCTAGAGAATAAATAAATGGAAAGCTACAAATGCCTCTAGGGCAAAGTGATTAGAAACTGATGGACATTGTATTTAAAGAAGCATACATCCAGGAACGGAGAAAAATCAAAAAGCAGTCAACCCAGATGTGTAGTCAAAGTTTTATGACAGAATACATTCTATTATGTTTCCTTTAGTCAGTCTGACTGGTTGCCTCTGCTATGGTTTGGATCCCGTACTCATTATAATGCTTGTTCAGCAACCAGAAAAATACAAAGACGACTCTTTGAAGAGTCAGAGGAGTCTGAGAAACCTGTTCACTGCTGTTGAATGTTATTTATTCCATTGGTTTTATAGCTGGCCTCTGCCCTTTTTACATTTTCTGGTTCATATTTTAAGAAGTAATGAATTAACTGTTCCATGAAAGCTCTGAAAACTTAATAATTTAATTATTTTATCCGTTGTCTGTCTGTATAGCAGTAATACTTTAAGGGCCAGTCCCAGACCCCTGAGAGAGTTAATTTTTATGCACTAAACAGGGACAGCATTCTAACAGCAACCTTACAGCAATATAACCAGTGTAAAATTATTACATTCAGCCCTAGCACTTTATGTAGCTGAATTTCAAATTACTCGGGGAAAGAATTCATGTGCATCCCATTGCAATTCACGAGCAGATTTTGTGACTTCACATGACACTCTTGTTGAGGACCAGTGTAATTATGCACTCAAGTCTGTGCAGTCAAAAGGAAAGTAACCAGAAATAGATGACTGTAGTATCAGGTTTTTCTTTCTGAAACCACATTCTGCCATTTTGAGTTCAGCCTCAGTTTTCCTCCCAAACAGGTATTTGCAACTGACCTTGACAGTGGGCTGAATGGAGAAACTGAATACTCAATTTTATCTGGTAATGAAAATGCAACATTTCTAATTGATCCAGTACGGGGGATTTTAGCAACTAATACAGTCCTAGATCATGAAAGCACTTCATCTTACAGGTTTGTGTGCAAGGTTCTTATAAAAAAGTTTTGTTCACTTTAACTTGAGATTGTTCGTGTTATGTATTTTATAGTTTTCTGTTGATATCCATTATCATTTGGATATGGATATCATGATACCCATTATCATTTGGATATGGATATCATGATCCCCATTATCCATCCACAGAGCCTGGGTGCAAGCCAGACAGCATTGAGAACAGCACTAAAGCTGCCCATTTTGTACCATGGATCCTTGCATACTTCTCAAATTTAGGGGAAGAAAAGTAGTCCTGTTTAATCAATGGCAACAGTTACTGATATAAGCGAGTGTGACAATTCACTATAGGAATGATGACAATTCCTGGATTTTAGTTTATTAAGAACAGCCATTCCCTCTCTGGTACCATTTTTTATAAATACGTAAAGACACAGAGAAAGCACTCAAACCAAACCCAAGAAATAGGGATATGTTCTGTTCTTTAATTAGAATATAGTTCAAATTTTTTTCTCCATAATCTGATAAAGATGCTTCTGTAAGCTGTTTCCATCTATAAGATGACTTGCACTAAGTATTAGTTTTTTTCTGTTTTCTAAGAACCCACAGGTGAATATGATCAAGCGGACAGGATGTTTTTTCTTTATAGGTCATGCCATAATTGGAATTAGAGTGCAAATAAATCATGCTTTGAAGAGAAAATAAGAGCATGCAGATTCATTAATACACCTCTTTTATGAAATGCAATCTCTACAAAAAGTAGATTTCTGTGTATGTGTGTGTAGAAATTACCTTTTTTTTTTCCCCCATATGGTTGTGGCATTGGTTAAATTATTTGCAAGCTTTCCTATCCTCTGGCACCTCAAAGTTTTAAACATCCAATCAGAATTCTTACGATCCAGAATAACTTCTAGAAAACCACTTCAAAAAGATCAACAGAATATGAATATTTTTTTAAATATCAGTGTAATTTGATAATAGTGTCCTAAAGGAAATACTTTGTTTTAAATTAATATACAGAACACTTCATTTGGAGTTTGTTTTTCACTGAATCAAAAACATCAGTTCTGATTTTTAGTCATTTTAATAGCATAATACATTTTATTTGTAACTAGTACTTTAAGACAATGCCTGGAATAAATCCTTCAAAGGAAGGATGTTTACTGTTGATGAAGCATTGAACATGTAAACATAATTCTCTTTAACTGGGAGCCTGATTTATTTCAGTATTTATGTTGGAATTTAGCATTTTAAATCAGCAGTTTGTTCGAGGAATCTGAAGCTTTGTATTCCTTCTCTTTATTAATATGTTATTAACTGTACATTATTAGGTGAAAAGTGAGTAGCAAAAGAAGCTTTCAAAACTGTTTTCCTGTTTAATTTCAAAATTTTACCATTGGTTCTTTTAAATTTGCAAGGAGTTGTTTATTTTATCTAACGTGAACGTTTTTGTCCCTAGAAGTTCTGAGTCCCTTATGATACGAGTTATAATGAAAGTGTTGACAGAACCTTATATTAATGCCTTGGCTGAGATGTTTTTATGAGAGTTTTTTCCTGAAACTTTAGAAAGTGATTATTTTTAGTAAAATATTTCCATATGTATACCTTACCAATATTAATTCTAAAAAAAAAATACACTTTCTATATGGAATTATGCATGGTCACCAATTGAATACTAGTCTGCAATTCAAGTTATGTGTTCTGTCGGCATCAGAAACCACAAGGACACCCAGACCAGAGTTGGTGTGGTTCAGGAATGGAAGTGCTGCAATCCATGGCTTGAGTTACAGCCTTGGTATTCCATATTGTCATGTGAACATTTAGGAAGTAATATCTATTTGACACTTTACACAGAAACTGTGAGTTAGAAGAAAGAAGCATTCAGAAGATCTGCAGGGAGACCCAGAAAATATGATGTGAGATGCAAACAGTTGTTAGTACACAAAACATTTAACTGAGATGCCAGGCTCTGACTTGTTTATCCTTTTGCATAGTCTGATGTTTTCCTTTTTTTTTTTTTTTTTTAGTTTTTTCCTTTTTGGAGAGTACCTGTTGCTTTCTATTTAATTTTGAATTCCCTTCTGGATAATTTTTAATACTGAGGAAGGGTGAAGTCTTCCAAATAACCCTTGCTTACACTAAACATTTGCTCTTTATTGCTCAGAAGCTAGTTCCCACAGAGAGTAAACATCCTTTTATCTGTGTTTATCAGGCCATTGCTTACTGTTTTCTTTGCTACAGTGTTTGTGGAAGTCAAAAGGTTGTTAACAGAATCTACTACCCATCCTTTTGCGGGTGTAAAATGGAAGCGCACAGGCAAACTCTTTTTTTAATCTGACAGTGAGACTCTCGTCCCACTAAAATCAGTGGGAGTTTTGCAACTGCCAAATGGTGCAGGTCTTCAGGTTTTTCACTTTATCGCTTACATTTATAATAGGGGGCCTATTCTATATCTCTGCAGACGGTTTGGCTGAATATTACTTTGGATGCTTTTATATTACCCAGTTTTCACATTCCTGTTGTCCCTTTATAAACAATGAGGAGAGTCAGGTTTCTCCAAAGGACAATTTAGTACTTAAGTTTTAATTGTTGCTCTGAATTACCAACTGGAGAAATGTGCCTTATTTCAAAGAGTCTTTCTGGCTTGTTTAACCACCTATGGTATGAAATCACCTGGTATGAAATTGGGTGAAATGAATACAGATTAATACTTCCTTTTCTTTGTATGATTTTGTTATGTTTTTGCCACCTAGAATCTCCTGGACATATTTCCTGCAAGACACAAAAAGTAAAGCTCCAGACAATCAACCTTACAGAAAGAAAAATGGAATTTAAGAGTTGCAATGAGGAACAGAAAGGGCTAATCTTTTCACTTGCAATTTTTCCTGTATTTATAACATCGGTGGATATTTTTGTGATTTCTGACAAATAGTGACAATTACTGCTTCCTTTAATTGTAGGTTGGTTGTACAAGCTGCTGATAAAGGAAACCCCAGACTTTCTGCTACAAGTATTGTGAGGATACAAGTGTTAGATGTTAATGACAACGCTCCAGTTGTCCAACCACTAGGTGAAGTGGAGGTCCCAGAAAGTAAGTGTGATTGTACAGCTAAGTCTTATTAAGACTGGGATTTGTCAGGTGACAATAGTGCTTTTGGTGATTTGTGTAACCAAGTGACTCTAGTAAAACAGATAGTGGATTGTATTAATACTGAAATGTCAGAGTAAACTGTGATCTGCTTTTGTTCTCAGAGGCATTATTCTTAATCTTTAGACACGTGTTTAAGAACAGTTTAGAGCAAAACCATAGGCAATTCGAAAGAGGAAAACAAATTCTACAGAAATACATCTGTAATCTGTTCATTTTGGACTGCAGTGTTATATTCTTCAGATGTCTTCAATTTCTGCTTTTCTCCAGTAAAAATACTTGGTGTTAAAACCAGCATTGCTAGAAATGAGACATTTTAATTTCATTGTGATGAAAGAAATAATTTCTTTAAAGTTGAATGAAGCTTTAAAATGCTCTACAGCCTGATCCAGTTGATGGTTGTGAAGAAGAGGACCCAGAACCTCCTGATTCCTGTATATTATGTGACATAAGTTCAACATTTGCAGACCTTGAGTCTTAAGCCCAGCATTTTAAAATACAGACATCACGTATGTGATGCATTAAGATATACAGCTGAACACTTACAAAGATTTCGGTGCTGAAATGTCAGTACTCCTGTTAAGATATCAAGCCTGTTTTTCTGGTGGTATTTCTTTAGTCTTTTTTTAAATTTAGCTCCCACTGGTAATGACAAGTACGGGAGTCATGGATGCACAGCAGCTGTAAACTACTGGCTATTTATTTAGGTTTTTGCATTCTGTTTAAGAATATTTGCTTTAGGACACCACACCACGTGTTTGAGACTTAATGCCCCAGGTATGCAAATTGTGAATCGTTTAGTTTTTGTTAGCTCCAGGCTTTTTTAGATGATCACTGAAAGGTTCAGTTTGCAATCTGTGGTACTGTCAGCTTGGCACATGGCAAAAGCTGTCTGTATCCCATTCCTCAATCTTATAGGGATACACCTTGAGCTCTTAAGAATTTTGTGCCATGCAGGTCTGGCTGGATGTCTCGTGTCTCTCTAGTGGCCTTCTCCTCTGGAAAAGCTTCAGAACTGCAGTTGCTGGCTCTACAAAGACCAGGGGACTCTGATGCCTCAGTTAAATATTCTTGTGGAAATTTGATACTGTTCAATAAATTCATGTCACCTAAATGCATGTGGAAAACCATGGAAGTTCCTATTGCTGGTGAAGAAACAGTTATGGCTACAGTGAATCTGGGAAAATCTAAAGAAAACCCAAATTAAAATTTGGATAAAGCAGATGCTTTTGAAGAAATCTGCTACTGTTTCCATAGCAATTCTGGATATTGCTCTTATGCTAAAACACAGAGTCAAAATACACCAAAAGCTAATACGGAAAGATTATATATACCTAAGATTCAATTTTACAAAATTGGAAAAATCTTCAGAAGTTGTGACATCATCTTTTAGCTATGACTTACTCTGAAAATTATTGTTTCAGATGCCCTGCCTGGTTTTATAGTGACTCAGGTGTCAGCAAGTGATGCAGACTCCAAGCCAGCACTTCAGTTTGCTTTTATTTATGATAATAGTTCTGGAATGAAATTTGCCATCGATCAACACACTGGTGTAGTCACAGTGGTGGAACCATTAGATTTTGAAGAAACTGCTGTGTATAAGCTGAGAATCATAGTTTCAGATTCTGTACATCAAACAGAAGCAGAACTCGCCATCCTTGTTTTGGACATCAATGATAACCCACCAGTGTTTACTCAGGATTCGTATCAGGTGAGAATGTGGCAAATGGACAAAAGCATGTGATGTCTTTCCATATATATTATATTTGTCATAAAAATGCGTTTGAGCACTGAAAAGGAAGGTCTCTGCAAACTATTACTGAGCAGAAACAGAGCAGAGCTCTTCTAGGAAACCCCAGCTCCTTCCTAGGAATTCTGCTAAAAGGACTGAGGGAATTGTTCAGTTTTCATGTTCATGGTTTCTGACTTCAGAAGGCAAGTGGTGTGAATGCTAGCTGTACTCCACACACCATGCTTTCATCACTAGGAGTTACTGGATATAATCCAAACCAGTTTGGGGAGCAGGGTACAGTGTTCAGAACTTACTTCTGAGAGAATGGTAAACAAGTTGGTACATTGATTCTGGGCCTGTTACTATGGCATGAATGTCTTCAGTTACACAGCTCCACAGAGGAGTAGCAAAGGCACTTTTGTGGTAGGTTATGCACATACAGTTTGTAATGTGTAACCCTGCCTTATAGCAATGGCACTCATCTGGGGAGCGAGGGATATGAGTTTTGACCTCCCCAACATCCCCTGCTAGACTGAGGAGGGTACAAAGCTCAGCTTTTGGACCTCTGGACAAGCATTTGAACTGCTAGACTTTTCTAGAAGTCAAGTTGTCCAACAGTGTTTTGAAAGAAAGCTGTTTTAGCAACTATGGACAACTATGGGCCACTAAGATGATTAAAGGAATTTGAGCGCGTATCATACAAGGCTGTCAAGGGTAGGCTGCTAAAAGGGTTTTGCCCTGACTTCATAAGCTTTGGGGCTGTGGGGCTTGGGCTAAGGCTCAGCATCTGTAATGGCTTGGAGTTAGGGGTAGGAGAAGGACAAAGCCTGGAGCTCCAGGTGAAGTTAGGCTGCAATAAGGCTGCTACAGGAAAGGTGAGACTGCCCAAGGAGTGGTTTACTTAGGACTTGTTTGTGTGGGGCTAGGCTGTGGGGCTTGGGCTGAGGCCTAAGAGAGGCTAGAGAATGGAGCGTTCAGCCTGGAGAAGAGAAGGTCAGGGAGGATCTTGCCAATGTGTGTAAATACTGGTAAGGGGAGTAAAGAAGACAGAGCCAGATTCTCCTCTGTGGTGTCCAGTGACAGGGCAACAGGCAGTGGGCATAAATGGAAATACAGGAAATTCTGTTTAAACATCAGGAAAATCTTTTTTTTTAGACTCTTAACAGTGACTGAGTACTGGCAGAAGTTGTGGAGTCTCCATCCCTGGAGATACTCAAAACTCAACTATACACTGCCCTGGTCACCCTGCTCTATGTGAACCCCCTCTGAGTAAGGGTTGGACAAGATGACCTCTGGAGGTGCCTGCCAGCCTCAGCCATTCTGCGATCCTGTGAACCAAGCTGCTTGCTTGACTTGGTGCTTTTTGTGTGCGGTGGATGTGCTTAGAGCCAAAAATATGAGGCATCACAGAAGACTTATATTTAATGTTTCATTTATAAGTCTCAGACAGATTTGGTCAAGAAATAAGTCTAAACATTTGGTTTAGTAAAAAAATTTCAACCTCTGAGCATGTGCAGGCACAACGGTTTAGTCACTTAGATAACTGTAGGCACCTGTGAAACTTGCAGGTGCCTGAGTTGCCAGGATCTGCGTAAATTGCCCACCTATAAGTTTAAAGAAAAAAAGAAAAAAAAAAAAAGTGCTATTAATGCTCAAGTGATTTTTAGACCTTGCCTTAAGTTTTCCTCAACCCTCATATTTGTCTGACTATGCAGAATAGTCTAGGCAAGTACTTGCTTCTGCAAGTGCTAGGAATTTTTTTGTAGATTGGAGCAGACATTACAGGCAGGGTTATTAGCTGATGCAAAACAGCGTAGCTCTATTGACTATGCTAATGTAAACAGCTGAGCTTCTCTCTCCACAATCCTGATGTTTTCATATTTTGCTTGGACAGTAAGATACACTGCTTCTTTTTGGTCAATGATATGTATAATTCCACATTCATCATCTTGTAATTTTTACCCTTTTATTGTCCTTTCAAGTGTTCTCGTATTTATACTTTTCTATATATAGTTTCATATATATGGCTACTATATACATATAATCCCTCTGTTAAAATGTTTTCAAGTAATATTTGAAGTTATGACAAAGTTAGCTGCTGTATCATACTGTTCATTTAGAATTGGATTTATAAGGTGGAATGAAATGTTAGTCACAAAAATATCTGGACTTCAAGTAATGGAATATCTTAAGAAGGTAAACGACTTTCTTGGTTTCTTAGATTATACAAAGAAAAAAGGGAGTATTTTGCAAAACTAAATTCAAGGAACAATCCAGTGATAATTAAGTGCTGTGGTGCTGGAATTTTCAGGTTGTACGTGTTGGGTTTTTTTAATGGTCAATCATATACTCCAGATAGGGACTGCAGACTGTATTCCATGTACAAAAATCAAGGTGTTTCTGAAAGCACAGAGAAAAGCCAATTTTAGTTGCAGTCCACTGTAGTTATTCCTTCTGTTAGCGTACGACTGAAAAAAGAGATTCAGTGATTCACTGAACTCGTTGTCGTAATGAACTAGATGGATTTTCTACTGTTAAAAGTTTATGATAAATTTTGGCTATATTGTATGCATCATTTTCAAGGTCTCAAGTCTTTATAGTTTTGTCTCAGAAGAAAATGGGTAAGTGAAACTTTTTTCAAAGCTAGGAACTGTGTTTGCTTTTTTCTAATAAGATCAAATGAAGGAAAATGTATTTTTAATGTGCAAAATCTTTTATTAAGCACTATTAAAACTGGATTTTTTTTTTATATGTCAGGTGAGCTTGCCAGAGCTCATTTCTATGGATTCCACTGTTCTGACAGTTTCTGCTGTGGATAGGGATTCGGAGCATAATGGAATGATTTCCTACAAAATCCTCTCCTCCTCTGAGGGTTTTGCCATTGATCGTAAGAATGGTGAGTCTGTAAGCATGGTTTATTATTTCAGCTTTCTCAGTGTAAATTTAAGAGTCATATTGCACTTCCTCACCTGTTGCCAGTGATCACTTGAGTTCTGGAAATCTTTGACTGAAGTCCACCGTATGTTTTGGCTAAATCTGCCGTTATTGCTGAAGAACTGATAGCATCAAAGACTGGAGTTCTCAGTTTGTCCCTGAACCAAGCATGAGGCAGCTAGTCACAACATCCTATAGATGCTATTCATCTGACATGATTTAATAGAAAAGATGCTGTACTTTTTGCATTGTTTCATAACATTTCAGCTCATGTATTAAATTTCATTCAATTTAACTTCATACTTTCTATTTTTCAGTATAAGCTGAACCTATCATAATGGAGTGTCTCTATGGCTCAGGCAGTATGTTTTTAAAACTGCTTCTTTAGCGAACTTATGTTAGCCTATAATCCCCAATGGAATTTAAAAGTTTTCTAAATTGAAAGTGTTCTCTCCACAGCACATAATTTTCTTCAGTAGTTGAGATGTACCATTTTAAATTTTCTGACCTAATGTTGTCACATTCCGGGAGGCAGAAAACTCTGTGTGTGTGTGTGTGTGTCTGTATGCATATGTACATATGATTTTTGGTAATATCAGCTTCAGGGATTACTACATACTGCAAAAACGATATGCAATTATTGTTCAGTGAGCAAGGTCTTATCACTTATTTGCTGTTCCCAGGCGTTTCGATGAGGTGAATTTTTGAATGCAGTGTTTGGGTGATGGTAACTACAAACATTGAAAATATTAATGTCTCAGCCAATTAAAGCTGGTTTTTGTTTTAGCCATTTGTTACTGTATTCACCAACCTGTCTTTTTCTTTGCGTAATGGTTGTTTTTAACTGTGGTCAGCAAATTGTCACACAGCATTCTCTCTGTGCTTAGCTACACACCATGAAGAGTCAAGTAAAAGTAGGTGGCTTGTGAATGTAGTCAGAATGGCTTGGGTTGGAAGGGGCCTTTAAAGATCATCTTGTCCAACCCCTATGTTTAGATAAGCAACTTGAATGAAACACGTTTGTATAACTTACTGGCAAACCTGTCTGAATAGCAAACACACCTGTAATGCTGTTACTGATTGCAAGCAAAACAAAACTAACAGCCTTCAGTGATGAACTTGCACAGCATAGCCACCTCTAATAAGGAGCCTGTATTTCCTTAGCATTATTTTGCCTTTTATTTTCTGCAGTTGGCATGTTCAGCCTGTTACGAGGAAGCAAAATTTTTGCTAGTCTAAATGCAGGATGTGTATTTGATACTGCATGATTGTGGGTAGGCTTTGCAGCATTAGCTCTGAGTTACTTTAGGGTATGCATCTGTTACATTTGAATCGTTTTCAAATATGACTGCTTAGATTCAGCTTTTGGAATCATGTTTGCTTGCCTTAATGAGTGTGGCTTTTTATTAATTCTGTTTTATTTTCAGGTTCAGTGTTTGTTACAGGACCAGTGACACAGCTGGAAAAGATTCCCATTATCCAGCTCCTGATAGAAGCCAGGGATGGTGGCAGTCCCCCTCTGAGTGCAGTTACCTCCATAGAGGTGCACGTAGAAGATGTAAATAACTACGCCCCTCAGTTCACAAGGGTGCTGTACAATCTCAGCGTGAGTGAGGATGCCTCTGTTGGAGTAAGTGTCCTCACGTTTTCAGCCATCGACTATGACTGGACACATGAAAACACATATGTTGAATACTCTATTATTGATGGGAATTCTGACAATTTATTCTCTGTGGAAACAAGTGTCGTGGAGTCAGAAACATCCTACAAGCTTGTTGGCAACCTCATTTTGAGCAATACTCTCGACAGGGAAATGGCTTCTTCTCACTGTTTGGTCCTCCTTGCCTCCGATCGTGGAACGCCCTCCTTGAATTCAACTGCTACTGTGCTAATAACTGTACTGGATGTTAATGATAATCCTCCAGTATTTAGCAGCCCGGAGTACCATATTCATGTCAAAGAAAGCATCCCTGTAGGTAGCCACATCACTGAAGTTTCAGCAAATGACTGCGATGCAGGCACTAACGCAGAGATCACTTATGCTATGATCTCTGGAAATGACGGGGGACATTTTCGCTTGGATGGGAAAACAGGATCAGTGGATTTGATGAAAATGCTGGATTATGAGGATACCATGAAATTCACTTTGATCATCCAAGCCACAGATGGAGGAGCTGATGCAAAAAATGTGGCTTTTTCTGTTGTTCTTGTTAGCGTCCTAGATGACAACGATTATGCCCCACTCTTTTTGTTTCCTAGCCTGAGCTGTGTTGTCAGTGAAAATCTGCCTACCTTTTCTTTTGTGTGTGCCATTAATGCACTGGATTTTGATAAAGGCTCCTATGGCCACCTTACCTACTCCATCCAGTCTTCATGTTTGGCTCATCGGGAAGCTCCTAGAGACCATGACATGTTTTTCATTGATCCTTTGACAGGAGATATTCATACAAAGCAAATGTTTGACTATGAAAGTCAGAATAGGTACTGCTTTATAATTCAAGCAAAAGACAAAGGTGACTCACTGGCCACTGTTACAGTTCAGGTAGATATTGAGGGGAGAGATGAATTCGACCCAGTGTTTACACAAGATCAGTATTTCTTTAATCTTCCTGAGAAGAACGAAGCAGGCCAGTTGCTTGGCAGGGTGACAGCATCAGACAGCGATGGTGGCCTGGATGGAGTTGTCCATTACTCCCTGATAAAAACTTCTCCCTTCTTTTCTGTGAATCAAACCAGTGGTAGTATTTATTTGACTCAGACTGTTCACAGAAAGAAAAATGGCAGCAAAAGGAATGATGACACCCTGGAATTGTTGGTAAGAGCTCATAGCCCCAAAACTGAGTCAAAGTTCACAGTATGCACCGTTTTGGTAAATGTTTCCAATTCTCCTGAGAGTTATCCCATAGTGTCAGCATACAGCCTGACCATTAGCTTTTCAGTCTCCTTGACAGTGTTCCTACTGCTTGTGGTCAGTGTTATTGTGCTCATTCTGAGACATAAGCGGAAAGATCTGATGGACTTGTGTGTGAAAAAAGAAGCAGTATCCTCAGCTACTGATGTGAATTCAGCCAGCAAAGATAAGGACTGCCAGAAAATCCAAAGTACTGAGAGCAGTATGCTTCCCATGGGTGCCATAGCAGAATGGCTCAGCTTAGCAGGAATTGGAGAGGGGAAGGATGATGGTGTCCCCTGCAGGCATTCAGACTCCAGTGGCCACAGTTCTGCCGAAGGAGAAACTGCAGAGGATGAGGAAATCAAACGGATCAATGAGCATCCTTGCAGAAAGAGCACCGGCTCAGCAGTGAGCGAACACGGCTCGCGGGTGCCAGATTCAGGGATCCCAAGAGAGTCTGATCAGCTCTCCTGTCAGTCTGGAGAAATGGATGTCGTGGCTACCATTCAAAGCATGGAGAGGGGGCAGGCCATCTCAAACACTTAAGATAATTGGAATAAAAGAGAAAGACATAATGACAGACCTCACAGGAGAATATGTCTTGATGTCAGACAGGCAGGACTCTGGGTATGATTCGCTTGCAACTCTTGGCACCTCTGATGAGGATCTCAGAGGTGGTTATAACTGGGATTATGTGCTCAGCTGGGAGCCCAGATTTCAACCTCTTGCCTCAGTGTTTAATGATATTGCAAAACTGAAAGATGAAAGCGTACACATTCATAGCTTCCCTAAGGAGAAGAAATCTCTTGTTTTCCCTCCTCCCTTGATAACATCAGTAGCTCAGCCTGGCATAAGGACAGTGCCACCACGAATGCCAAATATAATATCAGGGCAAGCATTTAAAAACCACCCTCGTTCTCCCCTTATCCATAATCTTGGATACCCTCCACCAACCATGACCCCAAATTTTTCTCCTTCTCTCTCTTTACTTACCATGCAGACACCTACTGCTTCTCCAGTAATATCTGATGGGAGAAGGATAGGAACTTGTCTTATTGATCCATGCCATGAACTTGCAACAGAGGAGGAAATTCAGGTCTAGGTTATTAACCGACAGTAGTTTATGATAAAAAAATGTCTTAAAATGCATTTTGTTACTGTTTAACAAGCAAAATAAGCCTGTCAGAGCTATATCACCAGTATTTGTTCTGTTTTCATGAGCTGAAAAAGTTAAAGTATAAAATATCCACGTACTTGGTAACTATCCATTTTCTTCTTCCCAGAAATACACTGTGAGGCCATGAGATTTCTCTTCTTTCAGCTCCCAACAACTGTGGTTTCCTACGAAATCACTCAGCCAGGTGCCTGATGATAACCAACTTGACCGATTTTACTGTTTTTCTCATAAAATATGTCAATAACAAAAAAATGGTAGTAATTCCTTACCGGGGAAAAAAACCTTATTAGCATGCTGGTGGATTCTGACCACTTCTGCGGTGGTGTTAGAAGGGAGTACTAGAGGGATGTGTATGTATGACAGGTTTGGGGTAGGCAAAGAATAAAGCAAGGATTCCTGTTGAGCTCTTTCTTGAGTGTTTGTCTACACTTCCCACATCTCAGCCCCTGGGTCCCAACAACCTGTTGGGCCTCGTACAGTTTTGTCATATGCCATGGCTCCCTGGCGGGCTTTATTTAGCTGTCTTTGGGCTGTGGAATTCCACTCAGCAGTTTCTGTGCACCTTTTGTTTATCTCCTGGTGTAAAGCCAGCGAGTCATGATTATCTGAATAATAATGGATCACCCTTGGAAAACAATAACCAGATAAGATAAAAGCAACCACCTTCTCTATTACTAGATCTAAAATAGATCCTTAGTGTCTTTCTGTCCTATTACAGAAGCTGTCCTGGTCCCCAGGCAGCTGTAGGGATAGACAGTGTTACAGTTCTGAAGGGCTTGTATGCCTCCACCCTGGTCTTTTGTCCTGTGCCGGGCGTATCTCTGCAAGACCAGATAATCTGGCCTTGGTTGTTGTATGTATCATACCTATGGCATTTTGTGTATGTATGTATATCCAGAGACATACACATGCCTATACTGCTGTGTATGCTTGTATATTGTATCAGATCAATAAAATACACAGAAAATACATATAGAGTAACTCTGGTTTCTCTTCAGTGTATATTTAAGAGTCTTTTGCATCATGTGTATTAAAACTGGGCTATAGGGAATGGTCTAATTGGTGCTTGGGAATCTGCTGCAAGTTGGATGTGTACGGCAGTATATATTGTACAGGTGCTAACAGATGGAGGAAAAGCGTACAGTGATCTTGTGGGATCAGCATTATGTGTGCAGTGGCTTTTGTTGTTTTCTCAGTCATGCATGTCAAGATTTCCAACCTGTGGGCTTATAACTTGTCTTTGAGTAAGATCCTGTTTCTAAGACTACACCTGCATTGTACTATGGTGCAAGAGGGTCCATGCTGCTATGCACGAGCATTTCTTTTAAAGCTGGCATTTGTTCTTTGTACTGCCATGGAGTATGAAATGAGATGTGGCTTAGGAATTCATCAAGATAGACAAATGTTACTAAGAAAGGAGACACAATGATAAGTTTTACAGTCAGACAAAAGCCCATGCCAGGAAGAGGAAAGCAAAGAGGAGGAGTTATTCCCAGTTCATACCTGGAGTATCAGTTTAAGGCCATTATTTCAAAATGAATATTATTCTCCACCTGTTAACATTATGCTATCTATAGCCTGTTCGGTTTTGACTTACATGTCTTAACTTCTAAAGTAATGTCTAATAGGATGAGAGGTGTTCTTTGAGGTGTTCAGTTCTGAGCAAGTTATAGTTTCAGAAGGCACACATGGCACACAGAACTACCTTTTCTATATAGTCAACAACTTAGCTAATCCAATTTCAGTTTCAGGTGGTCATGGTCAAGTGGCAGCTATTGCTCTGAGGAGCAATGAGCACATGCTGCCCTGATAGGGTTCATCTTTCCAATAGGTGATCAGTGGAAGAACAAATGCTTTATGCAGCAAAACTGTGATTATCTTTCACAGTGGTGAATATGAAGTGGTAGCTAGGGCCTCATTTCATGCATAGAGTCTAGGGTAATGGATGAGTAGCTTTTTCTTCACTAATACTGCTCTTGCGGATGGAATACTATTAGCACTAGAAAGCATTAGAAAACATTCAGTCATATTTAGCACAGGATTTGGACCTCACCATGCTAATGTGTGTTCGCTTCCTCTAGTTCTGCTTGAAAAGTGAGACAACGCTGTTTCTGTTTGTGTCCTTGTTGCTCTTTCAAATGCAGCTTTTCGATGCCTTTCTGAACAGATTAGATATGACTTGCATCCTATTTATCAAGTGCGTGAGATAACCAACGCATGCTTTGTGCTCCTCTTGAGTGCTACAGCAATATTTTCCTTGTCCCTTGCATATTTGCTCATTCTTTATCAAATGGGAAACAATACTTAGCTGATACATTGTTGTTTCATATATAGTCAAGCTTAAAAATGTGGCCATTGAAACAGGTGTCTGCAATAAATCACATGTAGTTCTTTTAATCTTACTGTTTTTTTTCCCTAAGTAAACAGCATAAATTCTATCATTTACCATGAGTTTAATATTAGCTTGCCTCGAAGAGGCTGTGTTACTTTGCAATTCTGCACACCAGTTTTAGCACTTTGGAGAAGGTACAGAACTTGTTAGTGGAAAATCATATTAAGCTCAAAATGCATAAGCTATAAAATAAAAGACAGTTGTCTCTTCTGGAATTTTGGCTTCCTGCCTTCTGGATTTGCTTGTTGGCAGCCTTGAAAACACTGGTGTAAATCACTACCAAATGGATATCAAAATTCCATCTACCAGTAGTAATCATTAAATTGACGTTCAAGCAGATTCCTGTGAAAAGAGGAAAAACCTTCATATTTTTACAGAATCCATCTTTTACAGTTTATAAAAATATATATACCTATTTTTTTAAAATTACACTAAAACCACTAGTTACCTACACAAGTCCATTTTTGTTTTGTATTTTATCTTCAGCTGAAGACAGGAATTGTTCCTAAAGCAGTTTTAGTTAAAAATAGTTCCGATAAAAATGAATCCTTGTTGCTAGGTCTATTGCACTGCTGATGCCTGCTATCATTTATATTTGGTTGCCATCAATTCTCTGTGCTGTATGTCACTTGTTTTCTTTAGCCTGACATGTAGTTTCCTGAAGAACTATGTCAACTCTTCTCTTTGAGAGACCCATAAGCCAAAAATGTTACTAGAACATCAGCTAGCACCAGACTGACAATTGTGCCCGTATGGCTTTATACTTCTGCATCTCATGGAGTTGAAGGCCAATTGGCAAATCCAGTTGACCATCGTAGGCGTGCAGGGCCATTGGGATTAGACAACCTCCCAATGTGTGCTGACTACATCGCTCCTTGAAAACCAGCCCCTGGGAGTGAAGGGCACAAGGGAATCCTTGCAGGGAGGAAACTGGCACCAGTTTGCTGAGCATGGAGGGTGGTGTTCCCTAAAATCCTGTAAAAACACTAATTGGAATAGGAGGCAGTTGCAACTTTGTAATTGAATATACTGTGGTGGAGGTTTATATTTAGACTTTGGCTTCCTTCGCAAGAGAAATGGATTTGCAGCTTCTTGCTTTTAGTTATCTGGCACAACAGAACCACCTCGCTGTGGCAATCCGTGGCTTAGTTTGCTGTAGAATGTCTGGTTGTAGTAACTAAGGTGTTGCAGAATCAAACTGAATATACTTTTGGGTGTTGCATAGCTGCTAGCTCTGCTAGCTGTTCACTAGCACGTATACAAAGCCTAATGTATATTCAGTCTGTGTATGGTTTTGGATGTTCAGATCTTGTTAAAAAGAGCTGAAGTCTGGCATCCAAATCCTCTTGGTGGCTTTGAAAATTCCACCATAAATACATACAACACTTCTAAACGTTGGCAAAAAATGTGGATGCCTAAGCAAAAGAAAAGGAGCCTTATAGAAAAGAAAGTTGAGGATCTAAAACTTTTCTGGTTTAGACTTGCACTTTACATTGCTGCTAGGGCTATTCCTCATAAAATGTCAGATGCTTTTCTTCTAAAATGTATAAAATGTAATAGAAGAGCATCTGTAAGGAATAGAGTGAGGCATCAGGATATGCTGGAATTGTGAAATGGTTCTGTTTCTTGACACATATGAGTTACTTGAGCAATGTAGAAAATACCAAATCCTTTAGCTGATGATAGTCACAAAAATAAAAGTTGCTGCCCTGTTACTCTGTAAATGTTTGACTGACCCAAACAAGTCCTATGCCGGATGAAGCATTAGATGCCAAATCACACACCTGAAAATGCAGATACCGTGGAAAAGGACTGAAGTGATCCACTGTGGTGTTCAAAAAGTCAGTAAAAAAATCTCTTTACAATTAGAAAACTCAAATTTCTTTCTTTCAAAACAAAGGATTGCCACACAGCAAACTGCATTTAAAACTGTCAGCCATGTCCATGTCACCTTATCCACTTGAAAATAATCTTGGGTTTAACACTTTTTTAAAAACTCAGTATTTAACACAATCCTGGTCACCTTCCTTAAAACTGCATGTTAACTGACTATGAAAAACTCTTAGAAAAATCAGAAAATGGAAGTTGAGCTGTTAATTGTGAGAGCTGGTCGGCCAACAGTAACTGTTACCTAAAGGTGACGTTTGGGAATGACTGGTGCTAGGTGGTGCCAACTCACTGACCCAACCTGGAGGAATACCTTGCTGTTACTTATATATGCCCACAGCATTTTGTTGAAAACTTTCAAATGGGGAATTCAAAAGAGTTTCTGAAATGGTGCTGCTGGGGTCATAACCAAAAGAAATGAGTAGCAAGTCAAGCCTGTTTGCATTGACCTCAGAAATTCCTGTCTCAAGCCCCGCCTAGCTGGGTGTAGACTCATTTCCAGCATCTCCCTTTTAACAAACTGTAGGGTTCATTTAATTTCAAAAGGTTTGAAAACACTGGATTCTGATCCAACACCCCAAGACTTCTTCCACTGATTTCAGTGGGACTTGAATAAAAAAAAATGCACCTGGAAGGAATGGACAAC